ACTCTTGTAAATCAAGTCCCTCGATGGCGAGTCTTGTAGTAATTCTATATCATATCGAGTACGCAATTGGTATCCTTTATTTCACTGCACCCCGCCTCTTTCATAACTCCTCTCCAGGCACTCTGTCCTTTCATCATAACTCATCATGAGCACGCTCAGGCTCTGGTCGTCCACTATCTTTTTGCAGGTCAACGCCGTTCTTGAGTCGCCACTTCTCCCAAAGACCCCAGAATTCACTTTCCATGTTGGTGTCCAGTTGATCGGGTAGCACGACGGTGTACTCAACGTACAGGTTTCCGAATTCGGTCTTGTGGTAGACACTGTCGCCGTCCTCATGCCAGATGGGCATACCTTCTCCAACGACGGTCTCGACGTGGCCAGGCTGAATAACTTGGCCACGGGGCCGGCTTAGACGAACAACGTGATTATCGAGATGAGTGAGGTTGCGAGTCCAATCGCCCATCCAGGCCTCGCGGAGAGAAAGGACTTCGTTCCAGTAAAGGTCGTCACCCTTACGACGGAAGAATGCGCCGTCGACTTTGTTGGGGTTGTTATCATATGAGGGCTCCTTTTCAGATAGTGTAACCAGTAAATCACCAGGAACCCAATCAGGGCTCTCGTCGGCCTCATTCTCGTAGACAAGGCGGGTGTCGCGGGCAGCTCCGCGCTGGATGTTGAGTTGGACGGGCGTAGACTTCTTCTCGACTCGTTCACCATGACACACTGTACACTTATGCTTGATGTGCTTGCCCCGACCACCGCAGGCATCGCATCGTTGCTGGAACTGCTGGAACATACCGGGAGCAAGCTGGCGCTTCATAAGACGCACACCATGACCACCGCAGTGCTGGCAGGTATCGACTTGACCATCTGCACTTCCAGTACCTTCACATGATTCACAGATATGTTGCTTGTTCCAAGAGAATTCGGTAGTGGCGCCGTTGTAAAAATCGCGGAGAGTAATTTCGACACGGACTTCGACGTTGTGACCTCGGGGCTCGCTGGATCCTCGACCGTAGTGACCGTGACCGCCGAAGAAACGGCTAAAGAGATCAAAAGGATCATGACCACCACCGCCTCCGCCTCCCTGACGGCGCTGCTGGACGCCTTCGTGGCCATGATGGTCGTAGACCTTTCGCATTTCCTCGTCGCTTAGGACATCATAGGCTTCGGAGACTTCGACAAACTTATCGTGCGCTGTGTCATCGCCACTTAAAAAGGTTAGTGTCTAGTCAAACAGACAGGTGTTCATGGAGGGGCATACGGATTCTTGTCTGGGTGGAACTTCTTTGACAATTGTCGATATGCTTGCTTCAACTCTTTGTTCGTAGCTTTTCTGTTAACACCGAGTATCTGCAGAAATGCTAATTAGCGACTATTTAGAGGTTCGTTGAGGTGAGTTTACCTTGTAGTAGTCCTCGGCGCATACAGCTAGCTGGACCAGAGCTAAAAGGACCACGAGGGCCGCTGTATGAAACAACATTGTGCGTCTATTTCAGCAAGATTTGTAAATCTTAAAAAGCCAATGCAATTTGAACAGTTTGGAGTATTGGCTTGTAAAGAAATACGGAATTGAAAAGCGTTGCGAAGAAAAAGAGGGAAGAAAAGAACAACAGAGAACAAAGAACTCGCCTCTACCTGCGAAACACCAGCGTGTTATCAATTGCTTGTCTACTACACTTTTTGGGGGTTAATGGGACTGCTTATCGCTTTACCCCTGCAGGTCTAGCTTCTTATCGAAATCTTATAATTGGTTTAAAGCTCAGGCAGCCCCGGATTATCCTTTCTCCAAATCTAGGCAAGACATCAAGTTAAACTTACATGTCGCATTCAAGGCCTTGGGTTTTTTCTTATTTATACCCAGCCATTTCTTCTTCTACTAAAAGCTCATCAATCAAAATGAGCTCCAAAAAGTACGCTTTCCTTCCTATGGAAGAGGATGAGGTGGGTCCTCAGAAAGTTACCAAGGAGAAGAAATCTAGACATCGACATCGCGAACGAGACCGCGACGACAAGTCGTCTTCCCGACACTCAAAGTCCCGTCGCGAACGCAGTCGCTCGAGATCCCCGGCACGTGTATCTTCATCTCGCCATAGTCGACCCAAGCAATATCGACAACGCGACGACAAGGCCGATTTCGATGATCGATGGGGCGACGAGGAACCACCTTCTGATGAACCCGAGGAGGAAGACGATGGGCCCGAGTTTGAGCAATCAGCAAGCAAGCGAGTCAAATTAAGCCATGATGAATCGAGAGACGAAGAACTATCCGATGGCGCGAAAGAGGAATTGGAACGCAAAAAGGATATCGAAGAGCGCGAGGCTTTCGCAAAACGCCTGAGAGAAAAGGACAGCAAAAAACCGAAAAAGGACGATAGGGATGGAGAGTCCTCCTCGAGAAGAAAACTCGCCGAAGATGCTGAAGCGCGAAACCAAGCGCTGCCCGATATTCGAGAACGATCGCGACAGGAATACCTCAAGAAACGAGAAGCCGAACGATTAGCCCTTCTACGGAAGCAAGTTGCTGAGGAAACTGCTGAACTACGAAGCGGCGTGCGACTGTCCGAAAAAGAAAAAGCAGAGTTTGCCAAGAACAGAGAGATTTTGCGACTGGCTGAGGAGCGCCTCAAGATCGATGACCACAGGGATGGATATGCTATGCCAGAAGATTATATCACAGAGAAGGGCAAACTCGACCGAAAGAAAAAGGAGGAAGCACTATATAAACGATACGTCGAGAAAGATGAGTTTGGACAGGAGAAATTCGTTACTGAACACGAGGAGTGGGAACGAGAGCAAGCTTCAAAGGCCAAGGCGCAGATTCAGCGCGCCGAGAGGGAGAATGATGATTACGACTATGTTATGGACGACTCCCAGTATATCCAGTGGAACTTGGATTCACGTATGCCTGGAGATGATCGGAAATTAACCAAGGAACAACAATTCCTCGAGGCGCAAATCGACGCAGCTGAAAAGAAGGCCCTGTCAATTGAAGAGACAAGGAAAAGTCTACCAATCTACCAATACCGAGACGAGTTTCTTGCTGCACTAGAGCAGTACCAAGTTCTGGTTATCGTCGGAGAGACAGGTAGTGGAAAGACGACCCAACTACCGCAGTATCTTCATGAAGCTGGTTATACCAAGAACGGCATGAAGGTTGGATGTACTCAGCCCCGACGAGTGGCAGCCATGAGTGTAGCAGCTCGTGTGGCCGAAGAAGTCGGTGTCAAGGTTGGAAACGAAGTAGGATACACTATTCGTTTTGAGGACTGCACAAGCGACAAGACTGTTCTGAAGTACATGACTGATGGCATGTTGCTACGAGAATTCATGACGGAGCCGGATCTAGCAGGGTATTCGGCGCTGATGATCGACGAAGCCCACGAACGTACAGTCCATACCGATATTCTGTTGGCTTTGATCAAGGATCTCTCGAGAGAACGACCTGATCTGAAGCTGCTGATTTCTTCAGCTACCATGAACGCTGAAAAGTTTGCGCAGTATTTCGATGATGCGCCCATCTTTAATATTCCTGGTCGACGATACCCTGTCGATATCTATTACACTCCTAGCCCCGAAGCCAATTACCTGGCTGCCGCTATCACGACGACTTTCCAGATTCATACCACACAACCCAAGGGCGACATTCTGATCTTCTTAACGGGTCAAGACGAGATTGAAGCAGCCGAGCTCGAGATTGCAGAAACAGCAAAGAAGCTTGGCAATCGCGTCAAAGAACTTGTTGTTTGTCCTATCTATGCCAATTTGCCCTCTGAACTACAGTCCAAGATCTTCGAGCCCACGCCAGACGGTGCTCGCAAGGTTGTGCTGGCTACCAATATTGCCGAAACCAGTTTGACAATCGATGGTATCGTTTATGTCATTGACCCAGGCTATGTCAAGGAAAACGTCTACAACCCTGCGACAGGCATGTCTAACTTGGTTGTCGTTCCCTGTTCGAGAGCTTCAGCCAACCAACGAAGTGGTCGTGCTGGTCGTGTCGGACCAGGCAAGTGTTTCCGTTTGTATACCAAGTTTGCGTACATGAACGAGATGGACGAGTCGACTACGCCAGAAATCCAAAGGACAAACTTGAACGGTGTCGTGCTTCAGTTGAAGTCTCTTGGTATTAATGAATTGCTCGATTTCGAGTTTATGGATCCTCCACCCACAGAAGCTCTTATTGGTGCTCTGAACCAACTCTTTGCTCTGCAGGCGTTGAATCACCGTGGAGAATTGACCAAGCTTGGACGACAGATGGGTGAATTCCCTACAGACCCTATGCTTGCCAAGGCTGTACTCGCAGCAGACAAGGAAGGATGTGTTGAGGAGGTTTTGTCTATTGTATCCATGCTTGGTGAAGCATCTGCCCTCTTCTTCCGACCCAAGGATAAGAAGATCCACGCAGACAGCGCCCGAAACAGATTCACAATCAAGGATGGTGGTGATCACATCACACTTCTCAATGTTTGGAACCAATGGGTCGACAGTGATTTCTCCCCAGTCTGGGCCAAGGAGAACTTTCTACAGCAGCGCTCTCTCACACGTGCGCGCGACGTCCGCGACCAACTCGCAAAGCTCTGCGAACGTGTCGAAGTGGCACCGTCTACATGTGGTGCCACGAACCTACGACCCATCAAGCGCGCCATCACAGCTGGTTTCTTCCCCAACGCCGCGCGACTCCAGAAGAGCGGTGATAGCTACAGGACGGTCAAGAACAATACGACTGTGTGGATCCATCCTAGCAGTGTGCTCATGGCTATCGATCCCCCGGAGAAGATGGTGGTATACTTTGAGCTGGTACAAACGACAAAGGAGTATATGCGTAGTGTGATGCCGATTGAGCCAAGATGGCTATCAGAGTTGGCGCCGCACTTTCATAAAAAGAAGGATGTTGAGGAGATGGAGGAGAAGAAAATGCCAAAACGGCGATCGTAATGATATAGATTTAATTAATGCCTGCATATTATTCCCAAAATACAATATACTGAAACGATATCTTATTCCCACCAAGCAGCCTTTGTCTGCGGCTCTTCTTCTTCGTCTTTGTCAGGTATCCATTCGTAGAGAATGTCTGTTCTCATGGTGTACTTGATTCCCTTGTTCACCAACGCTCCTTCATGGAAAAGTCCCTTGTGCTGAAAAATGAGAACACTTCCGGCCTTGGGGTTCACATCGACCCTCTTCTCTCCCTTCCTGTCAAGGAAGGAAGTCGCGCCGCCTTGGAGTTCCGATGTAGGGTCATTCTCGACAGAATCATTGAGGTAGAGATGAACAGTGTAAAAGGTCTCGAATTCTTTTCCAGGACCTTCGGTATAGAAGTATGCGCCATCGCAGTGAGCTGAGTATGAAGTATGATTAGAGCGGTACTCGGAGGAGATGTAGAGTAACTTACGCTTGAAGTACTGTCCAGGAGAATACTTTAGGAAGCGCATTCTGTCGTTTAAGCGACTAAAGACAAACCTGCCACCTTTCATCCAAGGCTCGTGAGGCACAACAGCGAGTAAATCGCGCAGTCCGTCAGCTTGAAGACATCGTTCCCAGAGGCGATCAACTATCGTCTGCTGATCCCAGATAATCCTGTCGCTCTCGCGATACCCTGGCGCACGACTCTCATAACCATCACCACCACTCACCAAAGCGGGTTTCCACGCCGACCGAGTCTCATCGTCGCGCGGGACTGAATCTTCAGCTAGGGAAAGAAGTTCGCGGCATTCATCGGGTGATATAACATTGTCTAGAATAAGAGCCGTGTGGCCGTCGTATTGAGGAAGAGGGGAGTTTGCAAAGTCGATTTGATGGGATGTTATTGATGTTGATGAAGGAGAAGTGAGGAATGTGTCCGGTATGGAAATGTTTTTGGACTTGTATTCTATTTTCTGAGGCATGGTGTAATTTGACGTTTGGCGAGGAACGACTTTGAAGGAAGAGGTTTGGGGTTTTGAGAGGCCAAGTTTGGAGGCGATGTTGGACAACATTTTTATATCAGCGCCAAGAAAGAAAATACTACTCTTTAAAATAAAAGGAATACTAGTATTTAATATCCAAGGATTTGAAGTGAAATGTGTTTCAAGAATATAAATGCCTAAAAGGACAGGTTTCATGGATTGACAAGACAGATATTGATGCTTTTATTCTTGTTGTTGCTGCCTGTCTAGGATGTTGTCTAAGGCGGCTCGTTCTCCACACAGCCACCACTAGTCCTACGCCGAGTGACAGCTAGGCTTTCATGATGAAGACCGTGACATTACTAGTTTTAGGCTTTATTTTAGTAATTTGGAGGCGTTTAGAGGCGTTTAGATAGGACTGGGATTTTAAATGTTGTAGCCTACGTTGCTTGGGAGTGTGTGTTCATGATACCCATGTAAGGAATGAGATAGACCCATACTGAACACCTGGGAATAATTAAATGGATGAACGCTCTTTTGTATTAATCGAGATGTATGGTAGTAATGAGGGATGGTAGACCGTAGTTGAAAATTGCGGTTTGTTTCTGCAGACAGATTATCGATGCCAAATAACATTGTTTGAATGCAGCCCTTCCCAACCGTAGTAGTTGTGATTCATGGTCATTCAACTGTAGAATTCTTCTTCTTCTACTTCTTGTTGTATAGCCAAGTCATCACTTCTCATGCTCCCCAAATAATAATTCGGTAGTCCAAAAAATGCCCAAACTCGTCCTCTGAATGGCAAATATCGTCCATTATTAGGTCTCTCTTTAACCTTCCACCACGGAAGTTTATAGACCAGTGCCAAGAAACTGGGCATATGGTCAATCATCGGGAGGTCACGGTGCTCTCCCTTCTCAATCCAGAGTCCTCTCTTATACTCGCGAGTGTCGAACGTATAGTCGAATCCATCTCACCAAATGAGGGTCACATATCCCAGATGCAAACAAAGCTTTTCGTATGGGCTCCTTTTAACATCGTACTAATAATACATAGGGCATATAGGGCCGACGATTTTTGTTACGCGAAGGCCTGTGTGTTCCTTGACTTTTCGCTCGACTGCATGTTGTATTGATTCGTCCGAGTCGTAGACCTGGCCTTATAGTAGTACCTCATGGAGAGAAGAATCGCGTTTTTGGTGGATGAGGAGTGTCTTTTTTTCGCAGTTGCTAATACGGACAATAGCGATATTAAAGATGATTTTGTCTGGTATGAAATGCTTGATGTCTTGAACCCAGTGTTCGGCTTCTGGCCTGCCCATCGGCAAGAACTCCCATGTTGACGGGAGACTGTAGTTTGATGACTCTTTTCGACAGGCGACGGTGATGTAGATAAGTGGTGAAGGCTGTAGAGAATTGAGCTCTTGCGTGGGATTAAGAGAAGATGTGAAGAGGGAATATTAGTGTTTACACAATATGGCAAATATGTCTTCTTATGCCCTAAATTTATTTATGCTTTGATAGGCGCATGAAGAATTTTTTCGCATATTGAAAGTTTGAATGTTGAATCACATTGGAACCTAATAGATTTGACTCTGGAGTCGATGAGATGCGATAGAGGCAGTGTAAGCAACTGGCCTTGATGTTGACACTCGCCCTTTACGAGTCCCGACAACTTCCTTCCTGTTATTAATAATTGCAGATTTAGTCTTCCAGTAGAATGTGCTTCTCAGATCATATGCATTTAACCATAGACTCATCAGACGCTTCTGGTATGCCATGCTGACAAGATATAAATCTACCTGGACACTTTAAACCTACGTAAAAGCGATAGCGATAAGGCGACAAATGATAAGCCTCAATGGGAAACAAGAGCTTGGCAATTTTAGATGCCGACTTGGCAACACTAGACTCGGCCGGTAGATGTGGAAACCTTTCAACGACAGCCGGCCACTCGAGACAAATTGGAGACTAAGAGATTTTCTAGAATGAATAATCTCTGATTAAACCGGCAAAGTAACTAAAATGGTATACAAGAACCGTCGGCAAACTGGGTCCAAGTGGGTATGTCGAGATAAAATCTGCACACACTATATATCCTTACATCCGGAGACTGGTGAGAGTGTTCAGCCTCAATAGTTATTAATAAGAATAGATGAAAAGGATGTTTCTGTTGAACCTTGTTAAGTTGTAAGTAATGTTTCTGGTTTGGTAAAGGACCTTTTGTATGTGACGTTACTTACCCTTCGAGGTTTAGTCACCTTCCATAGCGGGCAACCATAAACTTCTCATCGACATGGGCTGATGGAACAATCCTGAATATCAGTACGTAACTACAACTCTTTTAACAGTTTTGTAGTGGATTTGCCTCTGAGCACGCAATTCCTCGTGCTTCATTTTAGCGGATTAGAATTGTACTACATCAATAACATCTTTCCCTTTGACATGTCTTGATCTTACTCTCAAGATCAATTCAACTATCAGACAGAATAATCATGGCTTATTATTCTGAAAAAGACAAATCGCCAGGAGGCGACATCGAGAATACCCCAGACAGCGATGGCTTGTCTAGACGAGGTCCCACGCAGTCGGATCTGCTGAGCCGTTCGCTCTCGGCGCGACAGGTCCAGATGATTGCCATTGGAGGTACAATCGGTACAGGTTTATTCTTGGGTACCGGAAAGTCACTTGCTACAGGTGGTCCAGCGTCGATATTAATTGCCTACGCTATTGTTGGTGGAATTGTTTTTACCACCATGTTGGCTCTGGGCGAGATGGCCGCTTTTATTCCCGTCGCTGGTAGTTTTTGTACTTTTGCAGGGTGAGTCTGACTTTGACTACCACTGAATCACCACTAACGAAAACTAGACGCTTTGTGGATGATGCTTTTGGTTTCGCTCTTACTTGGAATTACTGGTTCAACGATGCTGTATCCACAGCTTCAGATCTCGTTGCACTGCAGCTCATTCTCCAATATTGGACCGACAACTTCCCCGGCTGGGCTCTGAGTCTTATTTTCTGGGTTGTTCTCATCGCAATTAACCTCATTTCCGTTAGGGCGTACGGTGAAGTTGAGTACTGGCTCAGTCTGCTCAAGATCATCACCATTGTTGTATTCATTGTCATGGGTATTGTTGTCAACTGTGGTGGTAACGAGACTGGAGAGTACATCGGTGGGAAATACTGGCATTTACCTGATGCGCCTTTTGTTGGGGGTATTGGAGGATTTGCCTCTGTTTTTGTCACTGCTTCTTTTGCTTGTAAGTTTGTTTCTGGCCTCGTGAGAATTTGAATGGATAACTAATGATTTTAGATGGTGGAACTGAGAGTATCGCCATCACTGCTGGTGAGACCAAGGATCCTACCAAGAACATCCCCAAAGTTGTCAAGAACGTCTTTTGGCGTATCCTTCTCTTCTAGTAAGTCTACTTCTTCCCTTTACTGAGTTACTCACTAACAAAATATCCAGTATTCTCTCAATTCTCATCATTGGTCTCAATGTTCCCTACAACTACCCCGATCTCAACTCTAAGGAAACCCGCACTTCTCCCTTCACCATCGTCTTTGAGATGACAGGCGCCAAAGCTGCCGGAAGTGTCATCAACGCCGTTATCCTGACCAGTGTTCTGTCGGCTGGAAACCACGCTCTTTTCGCGGGCGTGAGATTGATGTACACTCTCGCTCACGAGGGACACGCGCCCAAAGTGCTTGGAAAACTCAACAGGAACCAAGTCCCTTGGGTTGCCGTTTTAGTCACCGGTTTCATCTCTGGTCTTTGCTTTGGTTCAAGTTTCATTGGAGCTGGACAACTGTGGTCTTGGCTGCAAAAGTAAGTCCCATCACATGCTATATCTAGGATAAAAAAGTTAACATTCCACAGCATTGTCGGTGTATCCAACCAACTGAGCTGGATCTCCATTGGTATCACATCAATCCGCTTCCGCCAAGCTCTCGAACTCCAAGGCAAAACGCACCTTCTTCCCTTCAAGAACTGGACGTATCCCTACGGACCCTGGATCTGCGTCTTCCTCAACAGCTTTCTGGTACTTGTCCAGGGCTGGAGCTGCTTCAGTCCCAAGTTTGACGTCGTCAGCTTTATAAGCTTCTACATCGAACTGCCCGTCATGCTTATCATGTTTGTCGTCTGGAAGCTTATCAAGAGGACGAAGATTGTTAAACTAAACGAGATGGATCTTGAGACGGATGTGCATACCATCGAGGAGAAGGTTACCGAGGAGACCGGGTGGAAGAATAAGTTAAAGAATGTGGTTACTTGGTTGTTTTAAGGGTGGAATTGGCTAGCGATTTGATACCATATTTATTATATAATGATTACTGCTTATAAAGATACCTTTACGTTTCAACGAGCAGAGTGAGGATGATCATGCCACAAAAAGATTCACTCTGCACCCGAGGCAGTAAAGCAGTGAGATATGCCAGATTAACAATTAGATAGTCAAATGGTGAGACCTAGTCTCGATAAGAAGCAAAAAGCTAAGACACACCCACACAAGAACATCACTCCCCATCACCACCTTCAGCATACTCCTCAGGCACTTCGGGCCAAGCATCAACACCATCCTGAATAACCATCATCATACCACCAACCATATGGTTACTAATATGACAATGAAGAAGCCACGGTCCAGCATCAGCAGCATGATACCGAACAACCACCCAACTCGGCTCCTTGTCCGCAGGAGCAGAAAGAAACGCATCGCGACGAGGAGGATTAACGAGGTTAAACTGGTCGGGAATCTCCTTGATGGCCTCTTCAACGGAGTTCCACCTGAAATGTCCTGTCCCAGCGCCCAGCATGTACATCTTTGATCCATGCTTGTGGATGGGATGCGGGGGCTGGGGGAACAAAGCTGCCACAAAGACGAGATCGACCCATTGGCCTAGCTTGGTCGAGATGGTGACGTTGTTGTTGATGTATGGCTGAGGGTTGAAAAGTGTTGGCCTCCGCTCGTCTAGATCTTGTGACATGAGGCCAGTGCTGTTCAGCGCCCAAAGATATGAAGCCCCTCTAATGGCCATGCTCAAGTTGAAGGTGACATCGGCAGTAGGCGAAATTGGACTCGGTGGGTAGGGAAATGCCACGAGTTGATTGAAAACAGTAACTTCTTTGGACGCAGGAAGACCGACAAGGTTAATCCAAGGCTCGACATCTCCCTCTGCAGCACTGTAACCTTCGATAGAGAGGACAGCATGGCCTGTGATGAGTTGAGGTGCACTGTTGGAGTTGTAGCGCATTTTGTAATCGCCCGAATTAGCGATCTTGATGACGATGGAGTATCGATCTCCATTAGCTACAGGAATGGCTTGCACCTTTTGAGGCTCGATGTATGAACCGTCCATGGCGTATACCCACATATCATGACCGTCAATTGAAAAGACGCCGTTGACAAAGTTGACTGCGCCGACGATGTCAAAGGCAAGCCATGACTCCCATTGGCCAAGGTAATTCGAGATCTTGATGGTCTCTATCTCTCCGTCTGTTTCTTTGCAGCCGGAGAATGTACCTGGGAGGAGTGCTGATTCGTTGCCCAGACCGCCAGCGAGGGCGTTGAGGGCAGAGGCGGGTAGACATCTACTTACGGTCAGCTTTACATCTAGACTCTGGAGGGTTAATACTCACGCTTTGTCTGTAAACTCAGCACCTCCTGGCACCAACCCAAGGTACGCCTTCTGAATCTCATTAAGATTGGCATCGACAACATCCTTGTTAAGACACTCAACTCTTCCCTTACCATTGAAAAGAATAGAGTCATAGCATGAATCTTCAATCCCGGCAGCAACTGTCATATCCCATTTCTCTTCTGATGTGAGATGCACAAAGTCAGAAATGACGATGGGTTTGACCTTCTCAACAGCTTCTTTAATCTTGTACACGGTATGTTCATCCTCAGAGATGAGGTGGAATGGATTCGGCTCGTCGTGTCGAGGATGGATGATGATGGCTCCGTAGAGACCATCTTCGATTTGGCCGCGGTGGTGAGAGTGGTACCAAAAGCTTCCGTATTGAGTTGCGTGGAATTTGTATGTGAAGCTGGATCCTGGCTTGATGGGGTGTTGAGTTACACCTGGGACACCATCTGACCAGGGAGTGCCTTTCATCTCCAAGCCTGGCTTGTTAGGACTTCTGAATAGAGAGGGAGTGAGCTAAACGTACCGTGGTAATGAACTGTGAGCTCCTCTGGGGATTCATTGTGGACTTTAACAACGACCATGTCATCTTGGTCGATCTCAAGCACGGGACCGGGAGATTGTCCATTGACAAGAAGCATCTTCCGGGAGAAGCGATCGGGGGCGTAGTCCTCCCATGTTATAGTAAGATCAAATTTCTTTGTCTTGAAAGTAGCTGATACCGATGTAATGAGAGTTTGTATAAGAAGAGGAAGAAAAACTAAGGAAGAAGTTGAGAAGTACATCTTGACTAGCAGCGAGAGCCGTGAACTCCCGATGGCTGTTGCTGTTCCTTCATCAAACAGGATCAGCACGCAGTATATACAATATTCGGAAACTATTCCATCGTCGCGGTGATGTCTTCATCCGATTACACCAAGACCCAGCTTACATGACAACAATCGCCACGCCGCATAGCAGCATTCTCACTACTGTGGTTTTCCAAGGCAAGTTCGGCCAATGAGGCATGTTCACGACACCGCAATTTCATAGCTAGTACCTATCTAATCACATTCCCCCAATAGAGTCTCATAACTTGCGAGAAGAAGTCTGGGCTTATTCCCGAGGCGGTGCTTTTTTTCGCGAAAGTGATCAGCACTAACATGACTTGCTATTGGGGGCTGAGAATAGAAGAGCTGGCAGTGGATGATTGGGGGCTGTACGGTTCTTGGCTGAGGTCAGATTTTTGCTGATATGGCAGGGCCCGAAGATGGCAAGTTCAGTTGGACTACAAGATTAAGCATGAAGGGTCATCATTCATGTTCAAGGTGCTTTAGGGAAATCGACATCTAACTAGTGATTTTACACGCAGTAGCATCACTTCAACGTCGTGATTGACTGCTTCAATGGACAAGAACATGCAGTATCTAAGCTAATGATTCATCTCAATAGACAGTGCATTGGGCAAAAACACATGTTTACTAGACATAATGCAGTTAGTTGATATGTCGTTGGTCTTGATAGGGCTTACATGGTTGCTTTGAGGCCTGGTTTTGTGATCTTGGCGGTCAGCATTGACAACTGTAGACGGTCAACAAACCGTAGAATACCAGGAATCTTGGCAACTGAAAGCACGTAGGATGAAATTGGTAAATTGGGCTATGTCATTCTGGACAGGACTCTAAGGTTGTTTGTTCGTATATCCTAAAGCTTGGTTGTTGTTCTGCTACTACCCTGGCTAGCCTACATAGCGCTTGATAGATGCTGTTCCTGGATTTGAATGTGACCCTAAGGTGGGGCTGACAGTTGGAGGGATTGATAGCGTGAAGTCAGTAGATAAGTTGGTATGGTAATTTGATATGCTTGTTCAAAGTAAACACAACTTTTCATTTGATCGGTTAAGATATTGATGCTGACCCGACTATTGTAAACAATGCGCGGACTCCTCCACGATATCGATCTTTTTGAGGTTTGAAGCCTGTTATCTCACAACAAATTAAGCTGCCTACCAGAGTACAATTGGTATGGCGACAGCACTGCTGTGCCTATACACATTCGACTCTCTGGTGATTCTCCCAATGCTTCGCCCAACCTCAACCCCCTCTAACCCATGTGAAGAACCTCGACATTGTTTCCAACAGGATCAAGGATAAACGCGGCATAGTACCCAGGTCTGTACTCTCTCAATCCAGGCTTTCCATTATCAACGGCACCAGCTTTCCTACTCAACTAATTAGCATTATCCTACTACTTTTAGACAGGTAAGAAAAGCACTTACATGGCAGCCTCATGCCACTCATAAACATGCTTCTGATTCTCGGCATCAAAAGCGAAATGAACAGGACACGTTCTGTTCTCCATCTTGCCATCGTACTTCTTGAGAGAGCTTCCACCTCCGCCAAGCCAAAAGTCAGGACCCTTGTTCTTCTCTCCAAACGCGCAGTAATATGCGCCTGTAGGTCCTTGAGCTTCAAACTTGAACTCGTAGCCTAGAGGGGCGAGGATGGCTTTGTAGAAGTCACGCATCTCGACGTAATGTTCGCCGCAGGGGAGTGCAAAGTGACTGAGACCCATTGTTGCTGTTGTGGTTGTGATAGTTTATGAGTGGTGAGCAGGTGAGTGAGTGAGTTGAATTGAATTGAAGTTCAAGGGAATGTCGACGGTCTTATATAGCCATTGCTTACAATGATCCAATTCACGGTGCGACTTGATGTTTCCCCTCTTCGTCGTGAAACCTGCCCCCTCACATACCGTGGCGTTCAACAACTCGGACTTTATACAAGTCCGTAATCTATCCGATTGATTGCCCATGTCCATGTGAGACAATGAATGCACGAATGCCTGAATTGTCGCACAACCAGTCATATCATACTTACATGGGCCATTGAGAAAAAAAAGTGATACAGATGTATATGATGTGGTCTTGTTGAAGAGCTGAATAATTTATGAGGCTCGCTGGTAGAGTGGTAAGGTGGGTGGATATTGTCCGTAGTCGGGCTGCTTACTTTCCTAAATAGGAAAATGAGATTCTTCATGGCGAGCTGATTTTGGTGATCTTTACGACATTTAGGAAAATGAGAACAAAATGTCAAATATTTGGCGGTCATGATATTGATTATATCAGGGATAGCATGACATAAATGACATCAAAAATGTACAGCTAGCCGGACTCCATACATCAAGCTGGCATCTCGGGCTCCGGAGACCGACGACCCGGAAGCGATATGTGTTCTTTGGGCAGGACTCTGCGATATCCCTCTTCTCTGAGCCTAAGCCGCCATCGGGTATCAAAAAAGCTCACCGCTGGAAGCATGAGAGATATTACTAGTGAGTAATAAACTTAGAACATATAGTCCAACTTCAATTACTTCCAGACGATAACTATCACATAAACGAGATGGAACATCATTGTAAAAACAAAAGGATCATTAAACAAACGAGATAAATGCCCAGCCCATGTGTCGTCCATCAACTTCGCCAGGTTCTTTCCAGCAAAGCTATCAGCTCGACGATAGCACCTTCGATAATAGCCACTCTATATAGTATGGCCCTTCACTGTGTCTCACCATGCCAGATCTCAACCCCATAGATATTTGGACCCCAAGTTAGACACCTCCCATGCCCTCAGACCCCTCGTTAAGGTTATGTATCGTCGTCGCTTCCTGATAACAGTAGAATAATAGCTTTGCAAGGCGTTGCTATATTATCCCAACCCCATCACGTTCCCATGAACGACACAGCTGAGTGTCTCGAGGTTGGGTATGTGTGATTGAAAAACCTCTATAATCTCAGGCGTGTCTTGTCTTCCAATCCTTCATGTCTCGTCGTTATCCCATCCACAAAGGACGTCCAAGAAATAGATCCATGTTTGTTTTGCATTATTTCCCACCACACCTCCCAGTCGATTAGTTTATTTATGACAGCATGCGTGGAGTCGCTCAATGGCAATGGTAGACGAACACCTACGTAGTCTGCCCTACGGATGTCTTGCTTCATTGTCACATCGCGCCTAATGGAGAGGCAGTCAAGTGTTTCCAGGTTGGGCATGCGTTTGTACACATTTCGCATGACTTTCACCGTTCGTTTCTTTCGCTGTCCGTATTGGAAAATGTGAGCGAAGGTGCCCCACTCCATCCCGTTCTGAAGGACCCTGTCTAAGCCTTCAACTCGCATGGGGTCTGAACCATACACCAGGGCTTCCTTCGCCCTCCTTGACGAAGAAGCCGTGACGCAGGGCAATCGCGCGGGATTCATGGCAGATTTGAAGAGTGACAGGAGGAGGGTGGCGAAAGCTGAAATGGAAGAATTCAGTGTCTCCTATGCAGAGCATCTTCGACACATCAAAGAGGCGACGATCTAGGAGGGTAAAGAGCCAGGCGTGATCTCGTAGTTCAGGTGGAAGACGGTGTAAAGGAAAGCCTTGACGGAGAGGCGGCTGTTCTTGAGAGGCCATTTTCACCGATCTCTGGGTGGGCTTTGAGAGTGAAAGATGATGGTAGAGAATTTTGGCGATGCAAGAGAGAAGTTTGTGGGTAAAGGTAGGAAAAAGGGCACTCGGCATAAGTATTCACAGGTGCGTAGGCAGAAACCGTTTATAGTATATGGTGACATCTAATCAACGACTGAAGCTTCGGGTCACAAACTGAAAAACTCAAGACTTTACCTTCAAGGCATGTAGAAACAGACCGGGGGCAACAGTGATATGTATCAAACAATATATCCACAGAATATTGTAGTTTGTATGCAAAATGTGAGAGCACGCAAATATGTAGTTCAACTTACAGGAAGATCAAGCTCTACCAACCACGGATGATGAAAAGGTATGTCATCTGACCCTTGAATAGCAGCATTAACAAGAAGAGTATCAGCCCCTCTTATAATCGCCAACTCGTCTCCTTTGCAATGCTTCGTGGGTATAACCCTCGCATCTGCAATACTCATATTCCTATTCTCTTCCTGCCAAGCAACCATGAGTTCACTAGAACTAAACCGATCAAGAACTCCAATCGTAACAGACTTCCCCATACCGATGGCTGTATCAGGCAATGGCTCTTTAGGGTCGTGGCCTCGCCATCTTATCAACTCTGCGCCCCAGCTTCGATGCACGTGGCCGAAGCAGTGCATGAGAGGTTTTGCTTGAGCGACAAGTTTGAAGAGGTCTGAACAACCAACATGCTTTCTGCGATAAGTCATGTCGAGGATACCTTTTGGAGGACCATGTGTTATTATCACGTCGACTGGCTCGTTGATCTGACTGTAGTGACCTATCCAAGGATCAAACTGGAATCCCCAGCAGTCATTGGAAGGAGTATACGGACTCGCATAAACTACCAGATGAGCTCCATTGTCAAGGTCAAAACGATGAACACCCTCTGTTAGATACACAATACCCTCATGTGTAAAACTCTCCATCAAGCGTCTCGCTTCTCCAACTTTTCCATATTGCTTCTCTACTCTTATATCGGGGAAAGGTGTTTCGGCGATCGCTTTCTTAAAAGTGGGCGTGTCGAGGGTAAAATCGTGGTTACCTGGGATGACAAGTTTGAGTGGCGCGTTTATGTCTTTGAGAAGACGGATGGCTGACTCAAATTCGTAGAGTTTGGATGTTTCTGTTAGATCGCCGCAGTGAATGGCGACATCGACTTTGTGTAAGGGTTTGCGGTCGCCGGGAAATTCTTGGCCGTGGGTGTCGGACAAGACTAAGAAACGGGTTCTGATTTTCCATCGCGCTATTGTTGGAGTGTTTTGGAGGCTCAGTTATCACAAGTAGCGATGAGCCAGATAAGAGCATGTTTTATGCGATAGCAGCAAAATTAAGTCTTCATGTTCAGAATAATGTTTATCGCTGCAAAGCTTGAACTGTGTTCTCTTTAAATACTCCTTTTTCTTGAAACCTTGCGGACAAGACGGACACAGGTCTGCAAAGACATTTCATCCAAGAGTATGTTCTGGGTATCATTCTTACAATTGTAAAATTTAATATGTGTTCAAAACTTATCTCTCAAGAAATGATGAATGGTTCAGAAGTGTAGACAATTACATTTAAGCATTGGAGTTGTTATTGAGTAATCTAAAAATACTACCTTTTCTCAATAAAGTTTAATGACCCCGGTAAAATGGACCCTGGAACCCCGGAAGCCCCCCAGAATCGCCGCCTCATCTGCCGGATCGCCATTCTCCACGTGACGGGGCCGGACCATTGGGTTGGTTCAACTTGTCTCTTGTTATCTTTCACCATCACCACCTTTACAGCTGTTCATCATCATACGTTCATTCTTTTATTATTGGTTCTGTAATAAGAATGCGTCAAGATGGAGTCCCAGACCACTCACCGTCGGCTGAAATACAATGACTCCTCAACAGGACAGCCATGGTGTTCCAGCACATCATTTAAACTCACCCTTCCAATCCTTATTCTCTTAACAATATTCATATTCGTACCCCAAATCCACTTTCTTCTTAATCTTGGAACTACAGATATGAAGCTTACAAGTTCAATCGCTGTTTGTCCAGCGCTGGCCATGGCGCGCAACCTCACTATCTACAGAGATGACCCCCTGGCTCCAACTCCACTACCGCCATCCCATGCAGCATCTGACGGACCAGATATAATCTACGCTTTCCAGAAACTAAGCCGCTCTACAACATGGAAGAGTATCAAAAACATCACTTTTCAAGGAGACACTTTTGAGCCAGAGGGTATCGTGCGACTTAGCGATGATCGATATATGGTTAGTTCAGGACATTGGACAGAGCCAACGAAAAAGTATGGAAAGATTATCAACGGGACAGACAGAACCGCTGGTGCAGGATTGGCACATTTGATGGTCTACAATGGAAAAGGGGAGATGATTGCCGATGCTACTATTACGAAAGAAGGAGACGATGAGTATCATAATGGAGGGATTGACTATGATGGTCAGTATATCTGGGGAACTATTGCACAGTATCGTCCCAACAGCACTGCGTATGTATATCGGATAGACCCAGAGACACTTGTTCCGGAGCGCGTCCTCAACTACAACGATCATCTCGGCGGTATCGTCCATGATACTCGCGCCAATCTCATCACAGCTCTCAACTGGGGTTCACGAACAGCATCGACATGGAATCTCCGAACCGCCAAAACAGGCTGCGACGAATCCCCTACCCCAAAAAAGGTTGTACAAAATCCCAGCCACTTTATCGACTACCAAGACTGCAAATGGTTGGGGTATAGCGGTTTTTATAACGGCAAGAGTGTCATGCTCTGCTCAGGAGTGGCGACTGTCAGCGGGTATAATCTTGGTGGTATTTCGTTGGTGGATGTCAATACTATGATTCCTCTCGCTGAAGTGCCGATTGATATGGATAGTGAATTGGGAGTCAGGGTGACGCAGAATCCGATGGATGTTGGTTTGGAGGATGGGAAGTTGAGGCTTTATTTATTGCCAGATCAACATAATAGTACGTTGTATATTTATGAAACGCAGACATAGGCCTGTAATTGGAATACCAATTCTTTCTAGTCATCTGTATATCATAAATGGCTGCTGGAGGCATAAGAGATGAGATTAGTAGGACTTAGATTAGGCTTGTTGGCCGTGCCCATGTCTTCGACCAACACCTCACCCAAATCAGGCTGTGAACAGAATTGCAAAACCCACAAACAACCGACCGTGATATAACAGGAAAGAAAATAGTCAATCATACACGTCATACGGCTGCTTCCCACCATCTTATGCACATGTCGCCAATCACGCATGCATCTGCGTGTCCATCAGTTGGCCAGTTTTGAGACCCGCGAGGCTTTATGGGCGACTACCAACGAATGTAACCCTCTGTCTCGCAATTGAGAAATGGAGCTTTTCTTTTTCTGATGGAAGTGGCCGGCCCCCAGCTTGAAAAGCGCTTGGGCGGATTTGTCGTGATAATCGGCGTTGGTGTACTGTCGGGATCAGGGATATATAAACTGACACAATTCTCTTGCAATTTTCTTTGATCTTCACCAAGATACCTTTTCTACCTTCACTCGCGTACTCAGGATCAATTGATAATTACCTTTTTGGTCGCAATTCCCAGAATCCTTCCCCAGCAGCTTCAATTGGCAACACCGCTTCTACGTACCCGACCAAGCTCAATCATGGAACTCTTCAGCAATGTTGTCATAGAACGGGATTTCCCAGAACACAGTGAGTCAGTCCATTGCAAAAATCCAATGTATTCTCCTGACTGTGGAACCAGAGATCAAGTCCATCTTGGACCGGTCAGAACCGTCAACTGTCCGTTTCGTCCACCAACCTCAAGACTATTACCAAAACTCTTCTCTAATGGCCGAACCTTGCACAAGTCTTAATGTCCATGATCATTCCTCCTTCTGGTCGCACTCCTCCCCGAGCAACTCTTCCTCCACCTCTCCCAGCTCTCAGACTTAGTTTGAGAGTTCAGCGCGTAGTTATGGTCTCGACCCCGAGCCAGGAGATCTACAAGCGGGATTGTTGATGGATAGTAGTAGTTCGGAGGATGACTCTCACCAAATTCGAAGCAAAACCAGAAGTAAAGGTAAGTGATTCACCTTTGACAGCATACCTCTGCATGGCTAACAGACACAGCCGAAATCATGTGCTGTAAAAAACCATGGAAGCAGGGCGCAGACTTCAAGTAAGTCTCTCTCCAAACTTTCCCTATCTATCTAACAGCGTTAACAGTAAACACTGGAATCGCGTACACAACCTCCGATACGAATGCGAGCACTGCGTCTTTACAGGAGCAGATAAGAAAGAACTCCATCGCCACTACTGGTCATCCCACAAAGACTGGGCGAAAGCGAACAACATTCCTAAACAAGGCGGGAACTGCAAAAGTTGCGGGAAGTATTTTACGAGGAAGGATCATATTCCTCGCCATCTTAAACGGTATCCCTTATGCCGTGAAAAGCTAGGGCTTTGAAAATAAGGGCTCTAGCTTTTCACGACATAAGGGATCTCGTCCGAGGTAGCGACGAATGCGATCTTTGATATTTATTGGTACTGGCTTTGTGTTCTTATAAGGCTTGTTATTTGTTCCTAGTTTATCCATACCTGTTCTTTCTCTATCGTACATCTTGTTCTGTTATCCTGTACTCTGTTTCTCCAAGTTTCTTACAGTGGCCCAAGTCCGGATCAAACTCTGGCGGGTATGTCTTCATACAAACAATTATCCTGTCATCCTTAAAATTGACCAAGAAGTTCCGAAGATTACAAGAGCCACTAGTCCCAGCGCTCAGGAATAGTCTTTTCATACTCTTTCCAATCCACAGGGCAATCCAAATTCCATTTCCATTCCTTCAGCTCCCGGGGCGCGGCGCGCTTGACGGGTTTAGGAAGCTCCTTCAGATACTTCACCAATACGTCTGGGTGAAGGGCGATTCCACGGAGGTTCTTCTCCAGTTCCTCTGGAGGGGAGCTGACGATAATGGCACGGATCTTTGTAGAACTGGGTGCATCGGTAGACTGCTGCATAAGATCGCTTTTGAGAAAACGAACATTGCCCTTGGGCTTGTGGCGTGTCTGTCTGCAGACCCAGATGGTATCAATGTTCTGCATCGCCTTAGTCATGGCTTCCTTGATGACTGTTTTGCTATCAGCTGGTGTCTTCTCTAGTTCGAGGGGGTTACTTACCTGACTCTTGGTGTCCTCTGAGCTTGGTTCGGATCAGTCGTTCGATGCAAGCGCGGTCGACGTTCAGCTCGCTCCATGGGGAACATCCCGCGAGTTTTCGGAGCGTACTGGGGTATCTGAAGTCGACTGCCCGCGAGATATCGCTGGTAATTGCATCAGAACACCCCCATATGTTGGGGTTGAAGCCTTTTTCTGCAGTGATGATGTCTGGTCCGTGTAGTGCAATGAACTTGAGTTCCATTCGATCATTTCGCACTGCCTTGGTAAGACGAGCGCGAAACTTGCCCCAGCTCTCGGAGCAGTCGTAGACCCATGCCCAATCTACTGGGATCCCTTGGCCTCTCCAGAGCTTGATTCGTTTGTCTTTCGGAATTGCGATTGCATTGTCCCGCCCTTTCATCTTACTCTGGACTTTCTCATCACTGGTGAGGACAACGATAGCTGCGACCATATTCAGGTCCGCGCCCGCATGTTTGAAAACATGTTTCAGGAGGTTTAAGTGTCCTTGATGGGGAGGATTAAAGGACCCCGGGTATAGGAGGATGTGGTTTACTCCTTGGGATCGGAGCAGAGGAGGGTTCTTGGCTGTTCCGTTATTAAACGGTCGGTCGGATGGGTTTGAAGGCTTCTCATTGAGAGGCATCAGACGTTCGACGTAGTTGGCGAGTCGGGCGAAAGCCATATTGTCTGGGTGGTATATATTTGTGGTGGGAGTTTGTGCAGAGGAAGGAAAGAGGTTGATGATGAAAGAGAGGGACCTGTAGAAGAATAGTATATAAGGATGCACTGTTCAAGCGAATAGACAAACTGATATTGCATTCACCGGCGTTCACAAACACCGGTTGACAGTGTTCGTCGGTGCGAGCAAGATGCTTGACGGATCGTGGGCACTGCGAAGAAAGTGTAAAGCGAGCCCCTCTGGTCTGGTATGATGGGATGAGAATGAGTGTTTCTTGCGTCAAAGGTATATTGCAACTTACATTTTTTATCTCTATAGTTGTCCATTGTTTCTCAATAGATAGTACAAATGTTTCGGGTCTGCTCAGCAAGTATAATATAAAAGGGGCTTTGTCATGACATAACAGTCGGCACAAGGACCTAATGAAAGAGCACAATAGCATCTCTCATCTAGATTCCCTGTGCATATAGCAACAATGATATTATATAATATTGTCTGCACGACTTTATGTTCTTGTCCTGAGCTGTCATGTGTTGGGTCATGATCAATACAGAAAATTGAGAAAAGTCCATGGTGTCTCTGATAGAGACATCTAAGTTGAGTGAGGCGATGGTAATGATGGGCATTTTGGAAAGGCTGCCAGAATTGAGCCCTTATATAATTCCTGTTCTTTTGATTGTTTTGTCTTAATTTGTTCTGCTCATTGTTTCTTTTTACCTCATGTTTTAAGTTTGTTTTCAAATGTCCAAACTCCCTCGCTTGATTGCAATTTGTCAACGTTGCTTTGCAAATCTTGGACTACAGAAACATAAAAAACAGCGAGAGCAAAAAAGGGAAAAGAAATTAGAAAAGATGGCATTTTATCATGTATCGTGTAATGTAGTCATATTCTGGGAGGTATCTAGTTCACACAAGCTGTGGAATTCTGATCTGTTGTAGGGTAAGCTCATGGCGCGATGGTAAGGCCGTCGTGATACCTTACTTGGACCAGGTACCGATACATGAACAAGGGTACAAACAGACACACCATATTACTAATAATAGAAATGATCAGGATTCAGCTCCAAGCATAAAGGGACCCAATCTTCCCTTATAGTAATTATTTGTAAATGTTGTGCTGACGCATATTCACCGCCGCTGATCTCTCAAAGCCCCTCATGCTTGTGAGTTGATCGTGATTAACAAGTCAATAGCCTAAGCCTCGGCCGATCATTACAAAAACGGTCGGCTGAACCCTGTCGGCATCTGAATCAAGCACGGAGATGGTTCGTCGATTCGAGGGGAAAAGCCGCAGGCACGAGCTGCATAAGATCGACACGACACAACAAAACACCAACAACGATTGACGGTATGAGCACGACATGAATACGATGAGAAAACGGATGAATGCATAAAAAGTGAGATTTCGCACAAAAAGAATAGCACACTCTACGTTGTTGTATCTGTCTGTTGGATTGGCTATCAAAAGTGAATTACTCTGTGGCTTGCATAAAAACTGTTTTCTCAGCCGGATCATGTCTCATATGTCTCAGAATACAAGCGGTGTAATTAAAGAGAAAAGAAAAGAAATTTTTGTTCCGCAGAGACATGCAAGGTATGGGGTAACGTCACTACAAGTCATGGGGAAAAACAAAAATACAACATCAAAAAAAGCATTCTCTCGGTGACAATGACAACACATGATGACCCCTGCTTGTTGGATGGCATTTCACTTTGTTCCTATTCGTTGGTTGGACCGCGGCCACGGCAGACAAGGCTTGGGGCGAACTGGACCTAGTTTAGTGGGAAAGCTTTTGTTGGAGATTTTGGTTTGTGTCTGTCTGTTTGGCGTCATGGTAATCATGACTTGAGCTTGTCATGAAGGACCATGTATTGTCTGATATGCCTGTTACTGTTGGATATTGGTGATAGCTGTGAGATGAAGTTGTCTGCTTAACATACAACTAACGCGACAAAACAACAAATGTCCTGTCGCAACTTAAACAGCTTCCCTAGCTCCAGCTTGAGTACCTAGGTAACTTCCGAGTCGGTTGCTTTCTGTTATCCGTCCCTGTCTATCTGTCCGTTTGTTTTCCCCTCAACGGACGGCGTTAACCCTTTAAACTCAACATGCAAAAGTCAAAAGCTCCTTTGATGGAATTGGTTCTCATGGGCAAAAACAGGGTCTTTGGGGATTCAGTCATGGTGCGTGTGTGTGTCACTCGCTCATCCATGTCTCACTGCCCACTTAGCGCCCACCGCTCTGCTTTGCTTTCCCCCCTCCTCTTTTTAATCCCTGTCGCATCTGCATTTTTTTCTTTTCTCCCATGATGCATACGTAGCCTATGTATTTGTACAGTGACGATGAATGGTAAGAGTCAGTGTAACAGGGAGTAGATCGTTGTCTTGGTCACGCTTTCTGGTGAGTTTGTATGCCTTGTATTGCTTTTTTGTTAGTAGTGAATGTAGTATTGTTTGCTACCATCTGAATTCCTCCAGTATCACGGTCTCTTTGGCACGTGCTGCATTCAGTGTGTGTGTGTCCTGTCTGTCCCCTTGCCTTGCTTTGCTTTGGACCTATTGAATCTGAGTTGCCGCCGCACCTTTTGAGTTGGTCGCATAATCACGGGTAGATCAGACTTTGCTGTGATTATTTACTGCATATCCTTTTACGATTCAGATAGACATTAAAGTACCTACAACCTACAATCAACTTGACTCTACACAAAACAAGACGCGTTGTCCCCTGATCCGATCCGACTCGACTCAGCTTCAGCCCATCCTAGGCAGTCTCCAAATAGTGGGCCAAACCAACTGACTGGCATTTTTTTCTTGTATAGAGATTTCCTGGGGGTGGAAAAAAGGCGAAAAAGGCTTGGAGTGGATGCCCCATCTCGTTATTTTCGGTCTAGCTCGAGTCGCTGGAACCTGAAGCCGAAAGGGAATTTTGGAGCTAAAAAATTGGCGCCATGGATCCACGGCATCCGTCCAAGCTTCCACTTTCAGTTCCTGTTCCAGTTCCAATTCCAGTTTCTACCAACAACACTATTGCTGTTTCTGTTTCTCCTTTCCTTCCAGCTCCAGCTCCAGCTGAAGCTTCACCTACAGCTTCGACACCACCACTTACTCGCCTCTCCACCAACATCCCCCTTTCTCCCAGCGCGACAACAACATTTATTAACTGGGGATCCAACACGCACACGCATAGACATACCCACTCCCGCACACCGTCTTATGACATCGCGCGCGCCGAGTCGCATCCGCATCTTCAGAATTTCACCTCGCATCAAAACCCTGCATATGCCGTTCATACTTTGGCCCAGCGACGATCCTCCGACACCAATTTTTACTCTCAACCCCAACGCCAAATAAGCCACAATTCAAACACTGCGCGTTCAATCACATTCAACCCGCGAACCTTTAATCACGAAATGCCGCCGCCGACCTCGCCTCCCCAGCCGGGGGCGAAACCGCCGCAACAGCAACAAAACCAAAATCAACAGCCGCACAACATGATGGGCTACGGTCCTCCCCCGCCGCGACCACCTCCCGTAGCTGTCGGGCCTCCCATGTCATTTCCCTCCGGTCGAGAACTTCCTGGCCTCGGCTCTATCGCAAGAACTGGCAGCAGCAACAGCTCCATGTCGATATCATCCATGCTAGGTGGCCCGCCGCCCGCTCTTCGTGAATCGCAACCTCCGCAGTCGCATTTTCCTCCTCATTCAGCCGCCCCTGGATCAGGTCCCGGCTTCGCGACCGCTGTCCACGCCTCACCTCGAATGCATTCGACCGCTTCTGAATACCCGCCTTTCCGTCGACCACATACCCCAGATCACCAGCGACCCTACGAACCCAGAAACTCACCACCTGGTCACTACACCCCCGAAGTTCCGCGTTACAGCACGCCTTCCACCTACTCAAGGCATCCTTCAGGCTCTGCAGATCACGCAAGAGAACCTGGAAGGCTACCTCCTGGTCCTCCTCCACGACCAAGTAGCCAACCCAAGGCATACCCAGGAATGCCACGACCGATGGAAATGGGACGGCCACCTGGCCCTGAAGAAGCATACGGGCGACGCGAAGAGATGGGTCGACCTCCACCTGGCATGGAATACAATCCTGAACGAGTTGGCCTGCGACCCAACCCCTACGAAGACCGCTATAGAGCAGAACGCGAACGAATGGGTGAAGTTGAGCAGCGCGAGCGCGAAAGAAGGGAACGCGCATATTCTGGCAGCGACTCGGGAAGACACTCGATACATCCTGGTGACTATGGTCATCGCGAACCTCCTCGAAACCCTTTACCGTACGGCCGACCCCCCGATCGCGACCCTAGAGAACGAGACCCGCGTGATCCCCAGGGCAGGGATCCTAGAGATATCCGAGAGCGAGATCCGCGAGATGGGCAATGGGGTCGCATGGGCGCTGACCCCAGCTATCGAGCCCCTATGGATCATCAACGACCACATCCCGACTATCCTCCTTCTGCCACGCCTTACCCTCCTCATGGTGTTTACCCAGGTCCTCCACCCGATCGATATCCTCCTTCGTCGCATTCTATGCCAGGCCCGCCAGGCCAAACCATGCCCCATGGACCCGCACCTTATGACTCTCCCGACCGAGCCCGAATGAGTTTAATGCATGCACAACAACAACAACAACCGCACCGAAGACCGGAAGAAGGCGGCCCCCCACCACCGACCATAGCCTACAACGGAGCTCCTGGTCCGGGACAACTCGAATCTCCCCGACACCGTAATAGTGATGATGCGTCAGCCCCCAATGGCCAGCGTAATTTGTTGGCGATTCAGGAAATGAACCGCAAAGGAAGAATATCACCTCTCCCACAAGCCGTACAAGGCGCGCAATTGCAGCAACCTGGCCCAACTGGCGAGCCAGGAATCAAGAGCGAATTTGGTCGCATGTTTGCAGGTATTGGAAATGGAGTTATGGGCGTTTCAAGCCCCATCACATCCGCTGCCATGCCTTTTACAACTGCCAGTTTGGCCAAGCGCGAGGATCCTGAAAACGTGACACCTGATTCTGGTCCCGAGGCAGGAAGCAAGGGTACTAAAGGCAGGAGGAGAAAACTGAAAGATGATGAAGGCAAGGGTGATGATGAAAGTTCGGGACGAGTTACTCCTGCCAACAGGGCAAAACGTCCCAAAACGCACCAACATCAACATCACCACCATCATCAGTATGTTGGTCTCCCGTTTCCTCGTGACTTTACTGATTATCCCAGCCACGCGCATCATCACCACCACCATCCAGCTGACGCTGCCCCGTTGAGTGGTGTTGTGCCTTTCAAGAACTTCAAAGCAGGCGCCCCTACAAACGACAAGGGTCTTCCTGTTCCTCATCATCATCATCCACCGCGGCCCATGCATCAACACCAGCACCCGTCGATGAAACAACCCGTACTAAATGCCCCACCTGTCATACCGCCGAAAGCGAAGACCATTGTCAAGTCAAAGGCAATTTTAGATTCGGTATCAGACCGACCTAGACACCATCTTGGAGATTTTATCTATGAGCCGGGATTGAAAGCTGGCAGATTGGTGCCAAACTATCCTACACATCGCGCTTTTGCTTCAAACCCCAAACCTCTACCTTGGGAATTGATCAAGAACAAGGAAAACTGCTTGTTAACGGTCAAGGTGGCTCGAGTCCATCTATCATCTGCTTCGAGAGAAGAAATCACCTCAAGAGGTTATCTTTGGGGTACTGATGTCTACACAGACGACTCTGATGTCGTCGCTGCATGCATCCACAGTGGATGGATAAAAGGAGAATGGGCTGAGGAAGTCGATAACTCGGTTCTGGATATTGATCAAGGACCCGGCGACAAGCGACGTAAGAAGCCTGCGACCTCGACCGTGGACCTGGATTCAGAAGGTCTTATCACTGCACCTCCCACCAGTGGACCGATGCCGATACCCGCACGACGCGATTTGCACGTCAACATCCTCATTCTTCCCCGTTTGGTCAAATACGGCGCTTCTACCAGACATGGTATTACGAGTCGAGAGTTTGGTGGCGATTACGGTCATCGCCATGCAGTCCATGATGGCATCAGTTACATGATCAAAAGTGTACGATGGGTGGAGAATGGGGCACAGCCACAAGCCCGACTTCGAGGTCAAGCTCGACGTGACCGCATTCGCAAGGCTATGCGCGAGGTCAAAAAGAGTCTCAATGTCAATGGTTTGGATATCCAAGAGAAGGAAATGAACGGAAAGCCACAAAGCGGAATATCAGCGACATGGAGGAAGAAGGATCCTGAACAAGTCGAGCCAAAGACCCAGGATCAGGACGTTGTCGAAGGCGACAAGGAAAACAGTCACCTCGCTACACACGATGCCGAAGCAAACGAGGAAGAAAATAAAGAGCAGCCAAAGGACGTGGAGATGAACGATGCCGTCGAGGCACCCGTCGCAGAGGCGAAGACGGATTCATGAGGCTCACGATTTTGTCGCCATACCATAAAAGGCGTTGGTGTCATTGCATTGCAGGGCAAAGAAGCCGAGGTCTTGTAGCATTAGAAATACCCCCTTCCAGGTTATGATAATAACAAGTTTAATCAAAAGGCGTCTGCCTTGTCTATAAGTTGGATATGATACATTTTTGTACATTTTTGTCTCTATCGCCACCGAGATTTATTGTTGTGATTTGTCGCATATGTCTCTTTTAAAAATCCGTCGCTCGTCCGTTATAAGACCAATCACTCTCCCCACCCCATCGAAGAGGCTCATTCTTTGGTCCTCCAACCTCTCCAGTCTTGGGATTCACATCGCCCTCAAACTCTGGCGGCGCACCACGGAAGTAACCCACGTTCATCTCATCGTCGGGTTTCTTTTCGGGTGTAGTTGTATGTTTTATCTGCGACGTAGCAGGTGTTGCTCCAGTAGCTTCTGTGGTTTCTTGTGTAGGTTGGAAAGCAGATGATACAGATGCTGCGCGCTGTAGACGTTCGAATTCGGCTTGTTCTGAGGCGGGGAGCTTTGGAGGACCGGGGCGGGATTGGAATGTTGATGAGAATCGGGTTGGGGGTGGTCGGATGAGGGAGGGTGTGAAGCGGCGGGTTAGAAGGCGGGACATTTTGGTTTATTTCGGTTTTGTATGTTTTGTTTGTTTGTGTTGGTGGTGTTGAGGTCGGCGCAATAAATTGGTGACTGAGAGGTAGAGAGGCAAAAGTGACAGAGTGATGATGTACTGTAGATCGGGTGAGAGACGGGCCGAGGTTAGATTGAAATCGGGAATTGGTGGGGGATGTTCCGGGGGTACCAGAAAAGTTGGCCGCCAGGAGCATAAAAGACTAAATTACTAGGCCACTTTATGCTACTTGAGTCATACTTCTTAGGCTATTTATTTATTTCTGTCATCTAAAGCCTAAGTGTCAATTCTTCTGCTAATCCACTAGCGGGGGAAAGAGACGTAAGCAGGTACGTACTGTTTTTGGTATAGGGTGGTGATTGCTTCATTTTTTTGATGGGGGATGTTAGAGTGAGACGAGTTATGTCGCTGCTATAGAAATTCCCATTTAAGAAAATAAAAGAATACTGAGTTTTATGTCATTGAATATCTCGCATATTAACCTCTTGAGCAATTGTCTAATAGAGAACCTAAGATGGGCGTATCTGTCTGTGTCTGCTTCCTCGGGCAACACTCCATGCGGCCAGGCATTCTCAAAGCTGAATGCCAAAGTGGATAATCTGAATCAACACAAAGCCAAGCTTTCAGATTGCTACATCAAATGCCCGCCCGAGTACTGTCTCATCGTGTCATGCCAACGGCACAGCAGCCACTTCGGTCGCCCGATCGGGTGGATCTAATCGCACGTGGGATGAAGGTTTGTTCATGGGGATTTTAACATGGAAATCCGTGTTGTATTGAACGGTGGTTTTTAGGTGTGGCGTTTCTTGGTCTCGATGAGGGAAGGATTGAGATGGTGTGATATGGAAGCTTCGGATGTTGTCATCTAGTTTTAATTAGTCTGGGTATTTTATGTTATATCTGTTTAGGTGAATGGTTAAATGGGAGTTTGGAGGATGTCGGGTTGATATCAAAGAATGGCAATGCTAATACGCATCGTTACAAATCAATAGAATCAACAATTGAGATAAATCTACGAGATCAATTGATTGACCTCACTAAGAATCGCTTAAAGAATTGCCCATAATTCCTTTCCTTTACATCATCCCTTTCTCAGTCACTTTAAACACGCGGCACTTTTCCGTTGATCAACCTCGTGGTCGATCCTAATGGTATCATTGGCTCCTCACCACCACAGCCCCCCCCCCATCACCATCATGACACACTCTCCGCCCAAACCTCACGCCTCGGTCTTTAATTAGAGTAACCACCTGTCGCCCCTGTGTCAAGATTGTTCTCCCCGCCAAGATCGATCTCGCCTATCGAATCACAGCTACGCAAAGACGCACACCCAGAACCGTTGAAGCTTGCTCTATAGTCTAACCAGTTTCTTGGGTTGAACCTTTAAAGTACTCGTTTGCCCCGCCTGTCTTATATTGCTACTGTCTTGCATGCTAGCTCTTGTTGAAGACTTCATTTTATATCCTGCTCATCAATCATGGAGTGAGAAGCCACTGTCGTGGAGACGCGGCACTTTGTTTATCTCCCTATAATTTTATACTATATTTCCCTCGATGGCGACACTTCATCAGTATGATTATATCTTTGCCTTGACTGTCCTCTTTGCTTGTCTCGATGCTTGGAACATTGGTATGTCCCTGGTGTAAATGTATTGGGGTGTACTGACTCTTTAGGCGCCAACGATGTGGCCAACTCCTTCGGAACGTCGGTCTCTTCGAGATCCCTTACCATGAAACAGGCAATGCTCGTAGCAGCAGTCTGTGAATTCAGTGGAAGTGTATCCGTAGGGTCTCGAGTAGCAGATACCATCCGCACAAAGATCGTCGACCCCCACCACTACGACAGCTCACCTGGTGTTTTACTCTTGGTCATGATGTGTACCATCGTGTCATCCTCGCTCTTCCTCACTTTCGCAACACGCCAAGGACTTCCCGTTTCGACGACACATTCTCTCATCGGCGGTTTAGTCGGTGCGGCTACGGCTTCGATCGGTATCGAAAAGGTTAGCTGGGGATGGCATGGAGTTTCGCAGATCTTTGCAGCTTGGGTCATTGCGCCTTTGATCGCGGGATGTTTCGGATACGTGCTGTTTCTTTGCACAAAGAAGTTCATCTTGATGAAAAGGACAGCTGTGAAAAGAGCATTCTTTTCCATCCCGTTTTACACCTATCTCACTGTCGGCGCGCTCACGATGCTTTTAGTCTGGAAGGGCATCCACGTAATTAACTTGTCTACGCGGGACACAGTCATTGCTATCTTGGCTACAGCCACTGGAATGACTATTCTTCAGGCTATTTTTCTACTACCGTTTCTATGGACGAGGATAATGCATGAGGACTGGACTCTCAAATGGTACCATGTCTTTCAAGGACCGCTGCTTCTATGGAGATCACCACCTCCACCGACACCGATTGGCTTTACGAAGCCCAGTATCCGGGACTACTACCAGGGACATCTCACGCGTGAGGAACTGAACTACATACGGACATCTGAAACTCTTCTCCAGTCTATCCAGACACCGAATGGTGAATTGCCGGATTTTGATCGAGATGACGAATGGATCCTCCCTCCACCAGCTCAAACACCACCCAAGACTCCACCGAATCGATTCGAACGACGCCATTCTTCCGAGCTTGTGCCTCCTCGTCCTGATGGTGAATGGAATAGTCCCCGCGTTCTGGCATGGAAGGTGAACCGTGTGCTACTTCGCGGATTAGAGAAGGATGTCGTGGCCATGCAGAAGCGAAACAATATTCTCAACTGGGACTTGGAGGATATGCATGCCCGCTCAGCTCACTACGATAATCGTGCAGAGTACATGTACTCAGCCCTTCAAATCCTTACAGCCGCAACGGCATCTTTCGTCCACGGCGCAAACGATGTCAGCAACGCAGTCGCGCCCTTCACAACAGCATACCAAGTCTGGTCCAGCGGCGGAATCCCAGAATACGTCGAGATACCCATTTGGATCCTTGTTGTGGGCGGCGCATGTATCGTTGTTGGCCTACTCACGTACGGCTACCACGTCATGCGCACGTTGGGCAACCGTTTGACCCTCATTTCGCCCAGTCGCGGGTTCTGCATGGAGCTTGCGAGTGCGTTGACGGTACTCATGGCGACGAGGCTGTCTCTACCCGTGTCAACGACGCAATGTATTACAGGGGCGACGGTGGGTGTGGGCTTGGCTAATGGGGACTGGAGATGCATTAACCCGAAGCTTGTGGCGTGGATATATCTTGGATGGCTTGTTACGTTGCCGGTTACGGGGGTCATGTCTGGGTGTTTGATGGCACTTATTATCAATGCGCCGAGATGGGAAATACCGGCTGTGTAATTTTTATTTTATTTTAATGTTGAGCGATGATACCTTTCTTATGATACCTTTTTCTTTCGATGAGACCCAAGTTTCGTAGATGTGCTGGGAGTGACAGTCATGATGTGGCGGCGAAGAACTTGAGGGTGTTAAAAATGGCCGCTAGAAGTATATGAGACGAAATTTGGTGGTTGTTTACGATTGTCAAAGTCTAATACTAATTCTAATAGACAAAGTTGGTAGGTTGGTTTATGCTTTCAAGATTGGACTTCTTAGGCTGTCTATTCTGCACCTCTTGTATCCGTAGCTAAATTGACTCTACAAAATGAGGTTCTAAACTTCTAGAACAACACAATATGCTTCAACACTCTAAATCTAAGTTTCACCTAAAGAATTCTACTAGCTTTGTTTCTTATGTTTCTACCATAGAGTTCAGTCGTTGCTTTATTGACATCCAGGCAGCTTCTTTGTCGGTCACAGTATATGCACTCTTACTAGGAAAACTCGCGCATCATGGGAAAAGCTTTGTTGATGCAAAGTCTTGAGTTTATGATCCGATCAAATAAATTAAGTTTATCATGGAAAATTCGATTTATAATTGAGAAGGCTTGAACTTCTTCTGTTTCATGTCAAAAACACACACATATATATATATAAGTGATGCAACATTCTCTTCAATCTTACGATCATTACATTGACTTGTCACTGAAAAGAAGAAAATGGCTTTTCAAAACTTACCAACCGAGATCCTTCTCGCGATCGGTCACCATGCCGACGATATGTCCCTTCGAAGTCTTTGTATGGTATCTTGTCGGTCCATGGACATATTCTAGGAAAAAGTATATCATACTGTAGAACTGGACGATACCCTAGAGTTAGCAAACAGATTACTTACTCTCGCATCAGGGCCTCGCAAATGGCTGATTCGCAAACTTCATTACGCTCCCCGCGATCCTTGGGGGCGATCGGCTTGTGAGGTCATGCTCTTGAAGCAAAGGCACCCAGGACCAGTCCAATATCCCACGCCGTTCAGCCTGTATAAGCGATTCTCATACGATACTAGCCAAGCGCTCAAGTGTCTCCGCTTATTCCCATGTCTGAAAAAGTTTCAGTTTGATCTTGGTGGTTGGGATCTCAACCAGTGGCGCGCAGACTCTCTCACCGTCAATCAGGAGTTCTGTCGCGACTACGAAGAAGATTGGTTAAATTTCATTAATGATAGTTTCCAGGCCCTTGGCGAACTCGACACTGACGCGTTCACGTAGCTGGAAATAAACGGTCTTCCTGATCTGGTTTCTATGTCCCACTACACTAAGTTCCGGCCGTTTCGAGGGTGGGAAAGGTTTCTTACCTGGTCAATCAGGACATTGGAGATTTCACTGGCTGAAGTAAACGAGGGGTATGAAGCCAGAACAGATGCCCACAAGAGATTTGTGTATCGTTTACCTGATACTTTCTTCCGGCATTTGGTCTGTGTGCAAAACTTGAGGATTGCGGGAACCGAGAATGCTGTCATTGGGAACCCCTACACCGAGCCGATGGGTTGGGAATATTTTGAATTAAAGAAACTGAGATCATTCGAAATCGAATACTGTCACGTTACAGAAGGGATGGCTTCATTCTTTTTAGTTCATTATGATACACTGGAGAGAGTCTGTTTGAAGAATTGCTTTGCGTGGACGAAGCAAGATTGGTTGAACATCTTCAACATCTTTCTCAACAGTCGATTACCAACAAGACTCGTCGAATTCAATATTGTGTCATATCCTGTCCGCTTGAGACATGGCCAATCGGACTATTTTGAAAAGGGCGACATCTACGGGCATGACATGTCGGAGGAAGCAAAGAAGGAAAAGATGAGGAAATTCGTGGTGGGGGATGCAAACCTCACGTTCAAACAATTTCAACCTGTGGAGATGTATGCTGATGACAATGATCCGGAACTTGATGAGAGTGATGTTATTGAGCGCTGGAAGGAACTGGATAGGTTGATGGAGAGGAATAGAAAGAGATTATCTGGGCGATGAGTTTGTTTGACAAGATTGTATACATGATCAACAGTACCACCACGCTCAGTTGCGCAAATTCTGGGGATACATCAGTACCACCAGTTTCAGGAGTAATCTATGTAATTTCTATACACGAATATCTTTCTCAACATGATCGATAGGCCCAGATTGTGAATGTGATCCGAACCTTTGGTCTTCGTGCAGGCAGACATAATATCACTTCGTAATTGTCCTCGCAACCTAAACGCTGACCCTAAACCGACGTATCTCTTAGTTGTATAAGTGCCGGCTCCAGGATATCACTTCCGCGACCCGGTACTTCCATGAGCCCAAGCCGGAAGCAAAGAATCATGCCGCGACAAGCTAGCCAACTGGATGTAGAGCACAGAGATCCGAGAATGCCTGCATGTGTAGTTTTCCATGGCTTGTTAGTCTCGATTTCATGTAGCTATACTTGTTTCCCTCATGAGGCTGCGTGGTTGGCTGTTTTCTTCCCGCCGCCCACTTTGTTTTCAACTAACCTTGCAAGTTATACACACAGTATCCGCGCTTGTAAACGCAGTAATGCATGGGGCATGGACTACATGCCGGAATTTCGGAATGAAATGTTCATACCAAGTTCGAGTTAACCTGCGATAGTACTAGGTTGGCACAAGTAAAGAACTCGCCTGGAACTATGAAATGACAAAAAAAAATATTTGAGGAATGATACTAAGAAAGTGATAGATTGATGGAAGGAGAGCTGATTGTCTGGACAAAAGTGGCCATCATGCTGTATGGCTTCATGCAGATGAGAAACGGGCAAATATCGCATTGACCAAGCTGTAATCTACCACCACAGCCAATTACCGATTCTGAGAAATGCAAAGATGTTCCAAGATAGAATCTCGTATTCGGATTACGAAGACATCCGGGTAACAACAGAGTAGATCAGGAGAGCTGTGAGTCAGGCCGTGCTAGTTTGGTTCAGAATGTTGGATTGTCCATCTTTCAACCTCCCACAAACTAGAGGTCGGCCTCCTTGTATCCAATTTCTCGTAGTATCATTGGACAAGAAGATCCGGAGCTTGTGAGGAGACTTGCATACAGAAGTTGACAGACGGGACTGAGAATGCAAAGTCCCAACTTGTGCCTTTGTTTGATACAGCACAACATACCTCGTCCCAATTGTATCAAGGTGTGTCGAGAAGTAATTGGAAAAGACCATGGGAATCCACGGGAATCTTGCTTTGGTTGCCGCAATTGCGTGCCGAAACTTGTTGTCGTCTGCAAAATGCCGTGCTTGTAGACTCATGGATCAGGACAACATGGGATTGTACCAAGTTGGCCATGGCAAAGCTTTCCATCTTGTTCCATCTCGGAAACATGAATTGAATGACTAATCCTTCGATCTTCGTTTACTTATACGACCTGTTCCTCCCCCCTTTCGTTTTGTATTGGCACACTTCTTTCCTTTCTTCCTCTGCACTTGTACTGTTGACTTCAACAATGTCTTGACACGGCTCAGCTGTGCTTAGGGTTCAATGAAACTCAGCAAGACACCTAGAAATCAGTGATGGTAGCATTTTGCCTTCGTTCAACCGTCCTATTCAGCTACGTCTTGGTGCGGTTCAGCCGCGCTTCAGGGTTCAAAGTAACTCAGCAAGACATCTGAAGCCTCATTGATGGAGACATTCTACCTTCAGTCTACCTCCACTTGCTCAAAGGAATAACACAAAGACTCGACAAGAGATGAATTAGATCGTGTCTCGACGTTTTACACTTGCTGACCATCGAATAGATCACTGCTACGTCCTGGGGAAGCGTCCCTGGCAACTCAACGCATCATGAAGCTTTGCCATTCTTGAACATGCACTGCGGTAACTTATCATGACTCTCCATTACCCAATGACACATACTGAATGTAACTCTTGACTGACGCATCCGTGTTCTCTATGTGGTAGTCGCATGCCAGTCATGTGCCAAACCTGCTCAGAGACTTACGGGCCGCCTGCATTCCAACGATCCGCTTCCCACTGAGCTACAAGTACGATCCCGTCAAAGGACCAGACACTCTGGTCTCAGTCTCTTCAAACAAGACTAAGTAATAGTGTTTCCTTCTTCGGAAGCATTTATACGATCGTGAGAGGTTCAACTAACCCCAACCAACATGTGCAAGCATTGTGGTTCGGGGTATATGCTAGAACCTTCCTTACGAATACACATCGCAACGAAGCATGCAGAGCGTATACATGTTTGCTTGCATGAAGATTGCGCAGGAAGCTCTGAGAAGTATTCAGATTCTTCAGCGCTTGGACTTAAGCCAACGGAAACAGAAGCCTGATCAACAGACAAAGGACACATGAGACCTGGACCAACAGCATCCCATGCGCTCGCGGCGGACAACCCTCTTATGTCTCCCGTTGACAAACTCGGGACCCGACTGTTGATTCCTCTCTCAATGGCAGCAGCACAGTATTCAGCAAGAGCAGAGCGCAAGAACACCGAAGCAACAATCTGTGATCAAAACCACTGTCATGCAGAGAGGGACACACTTCAAGGTCTGTGGAGATCTGTTGCCATAAGGACACTTTTGCCTGCACTATTCACTGGGTCTGGGCCGTGATAGTCGTGGTGGCCATGGTGACCGTGGCGGTATTCGGAAGAATGCCAAGTCTCGCTGCTTCCATGCCTGAAGCACAGGAAATGGGTACAAGAAGGTACAAAACCTGTGGGAATTCCCTAATCCCAGACTCTCCGCAAACATGGAGATAAATACGGAACTATACCCCAGAGCCATGTTGCGCTCTCTGAGGTTCATTCCGAATGTAGCACGGTCATGTTGGACCAGTCCCAGAAGATCCTACTCTACAGCACGCAGGCCCCATCAGATATAGTGCTGGCACACTGCACTGTTTACTTGGGGCAAGGATCTTTGGATGATGGAGGTGCTCTATTTTTTTTTACCAAGATTAGGCAACAAATGGCAACTACCTATTTACTTTCCAAATACTAAATGGACCAACCATCTCGAAGACCAAGCACCGAGCCAATCTACAACCCAGACACTACCAGCATAAACAGAACCGATAGCACATGCTCCTTGTTTGGGATCCTGTGGCAACTTTTCCAATTGACCAACAAGACAGATGTGTTATGCAGCATGCGGTAACAAAATCCATCATGTGGTACAGGGAGTTTGTTCCAAACACTCGGCACTTGAATGCTGAAGATCAAGATAACGAAGATGAGTTCACCAAGGCAACAAGCTTGCCGATTATATCGCGCCTGGGTAGCAAGTTCATTACCAAGTTCTTCGCTCCCAACCCCGATCAGGTGGTTGCGCTACATCACAACGAGCATTGTCATTTGTATTGCGATTTTGGGAGAAACCTCGAGTCCCCGATAGACGAAAAAGACCCAGAATATGGCAATTTATATGTTCGCCATATCGGTATCAAACAAACCATCCGAGCTCTTCATGGTGGAGAGAGATTGCCATGAACTCTGGGGGATATGAACATTCACAGACTATCACATACTCATCTAATTCATGTGCTTCTTTATGAGGATATTTAATTTCCTACTCCTACGGTTCCTTTCATTTGCCGAGATGGTCTCAACCACCCCGATGTGTTGCCAACTTATTCTCCACGAATTCTTCTTGGATATCCAACCCACATACACAAACGATCTATTTCTCTACACAAAAATACACAGGTTCCCTTCTATCCTCTTCTCAACTAATACACACACACAAACACACACAAATTTATCACGTCTCTTCATCCATCCGACAAAATGTTGACCGTTGATAACCCGCGACTATCTCACTTACCTTACTCTTCACAGGCCTGGAGCGAACTCGGCCATCGACAGTTGCGGAAGTGTTCAATCCCAAATTTAACCGTGTATTTCCACTATTGTCGAGTGCACGATAAGATGTATCACAAAAATGACCTCTCATGAGCTTGGCATGATTATCTCAGCCCCTTATCACAGTCAGAAACGAGACAATACTGTTTCGACATATGACCATAAGACAGGAGTCTCAGCCTTTGGTGCTGTCTACTCCAAGTATCGCAAAATGGTCATCATTGAGTGTCAGGCGGACCATGTCATCTACTTGCTCATCTACAGTTACAACGGCTTTGTCACCAGAAACATGTCCGAACCTATAATCGAATCCACAGCCCCCGGGGGATATACATGCGAATTGTGCCGATTATTCTTCTACATTGGGACAATACCCAATGACTGGGAATAACACCGGAGGACGTTTGAAGCCGAGGAAAGTAACTCTGTGGCGGAACCTGATTGAACCTCCATGGAGGTTCGCATGTCATTATCAAAGAGCTGTTCTGGACTCCAGGCCTCGAGAAACAATCCATTGTATGTCGCCCGTCCACCAAAACAGGTGACTCTTCAGTCAAGCCGCCTACCGAGCCGCCTACTCAAACGCCTCTTATTCCTTACGATCCTTTCGATCTGTGTGATGGCTGTGGAGTCTCACGAAGACTGCGGGTATCCTCACTGAAGCTGAGGAAGAAACTTCAAATAGATGAATAAAGAAGAGGATTGTCTGACGGATAATGGGGAAGTGGTAAGCGATCATGAAGGTGATGGAGGCAATTCCCAAATACCACAGAGGCAGCAAAGCGCTGCCACGCTCGTTCGGAACCAGCGTTCGCTAAGGAATGGTTGGAAACAACGCTGTCGGGAGAGCTTCATATTTCTATCCAAAGCGACTACCTCTACCTGCAACGGACAATACGGTAGGAGGATGACAATGACTGAGTACGACAGAGATTCATGAGTCGAAAAGCACACTCAATCACAAGCTGGGCGACGCCTTATTCGAAGGGGACATATCTTCAAAGACATCAACAACTATATTACCGAGCCAACTGCTGTCTTTATTGGCCACCTGAGACGATCATGATTTGTAACTCCGAAAATGCAGAATAAGGTTGACGTTCTCTTCTGGGATTTCTGCTCTTCTATGTCCGGAATGTTCTCGGCCGCGTTTCTTCATCAAGGCACAATCATGTCAGACAAACTTGCTAACAGAAACTCTCTCACCGCCAATCAGAATAACCGCGACGACGAGTACTGTCCCTCTCCTCCGAAGGGCGTTGGATGGAAGCCGTCCGAGTGCGGCGAACAAGAGATATCTTGATAATTACATTGAAAGATTAAGTCATGGCCCCCATTGTACCAAGTATCCAAGAGTGCCTATGAGCAAGATCGGTAAATGCTATATAGCAGTACAAGGTCTCGAAAACCTCCATCACAATGGAACTCAAGCGCCGGCTCGAGCAGTCTCGGCCATCGATCCGCTGCGAGAAGACGAAGCTGATATTGTTTTCGTCTACACTATCAGTGAATTCAATGCCGGGCCATACAAAATGGATATCAAACCCAGAATACAAACAAATATTCCATGGGAACAGCCAAAATTTCATTTTGGACACAGACTTCTCGCTAAACGGCAAGTATCTGCTTGAAGTGGCAATTATCGACCTGGTTTGTAGCCAGGTCGTGATTAATGCACTATTAATTGATGAACCTATTACTCATAACATGCCGAAAGGGTCGCCAGCTGACTTTACTTCCATAATATGTTGGTTAAAGCATCATACTCGCGTCAACTCATGCGTCCATGCGTCTATTTTCCCTATTTCATCTGGAGGAAGTTTGTGGGTCGGGAGATGAGGACGAATGCAAGCCAGACGCTTTAACTCTACTTACGCCACTATGGAGAAGCAATATCAAGAGACAGTGTCCTGATCAAAGGTTTTGTCTGAAGCTAGACGTCCTGTTTTCAATGTTGCATCCTCGGGAAACCCCAGTCGGTCAGAACCACAGGGCTTTGGATAATTGCGGGCAAACCATCAAGCCATGGCAAGACTTCGAGGAGAACACTTCTCAAGTGCAAAAACACAAGTTGTCCGGAAAGGACAGCAGACTCGACCAGAAGTATCGCCAGCATCATGGACCAAAAGCAAGCAAAAGCCACGGGCTTCATGACCACGAGACTATCGTATGAAGCGCAGCCAAGGCTTGGTAACACGATCCAGCATGTAGTCTATGCGTAGTCGGGCCTCATAGCTTGTCGTGACAACTGTAGATTAAAAGGGCTGGAAGTCATTCTTTGGCCCAATGGGAAACGTGTTTGCTCAAGCGTATGGAACACCCCGGAGCTATCCTATACCGGCTTCGATCCAACTATCGCGCACATGGGAATGATCGACTCGAGAAAACGGAGACCGTCGGGGTTTGATACAACGGAACCTTTGTACACACCTATCAATTCACGATCACAACACCAACGTTGTTCGTCATTTATCGCGAAGCATTGGTTTTGAAACAAAAACCTGTCCTTCATGTTGATTACGCAAAGATCTAAAGGAGACGCTTCCTGAGCCGGCCGTTCAAGATTTTTGGATCTTTTCCAACAGGCCCAGGCTCTCGTTTCATTCGAGATCAACATTATGTTGACGGATCCATGCGGCAGGCTTTTATCTTGAATCATCGACTGAAACAAGCCAATGCATGCCGACCTTGCTGGCGCAAGCAAGATCGAGTCTGTTGCCCATTCAAGATTTTGAGATCATTGTGGTATATATCACAATAAAAGGAGGAGACTGACATATGCTGATGAAGGATACTTTATCACGTTTCCTTGCCTGTTTCTGCGAGCAGGCAAACATGATTTTCGGCGGACGATCGTCTTACAAGTGTTCATCAACACCATTCCCTAACGACAGCGTCGACAATGAAATGAAGGCAATGAAGCATTGATGAGAACAGATGACGAGGAAAGTCCGATGTCGACTTCACCGTCGAGAGAGAAGTACACAGACCAAAAGGGCTTCCCAGCCAACATGGTCAATTGATACTACAAGGGGAGGCCCCAAAGACCTCTACGACAAAGAACAGATACATCGCTATAACATGGAAATGTTTCTAAATTACCAACAAAATAAATCAACAACAAAAAGAAACCAGGTCTCGACGACAGAGGTTCTCTAACGATCAGCCAGGAAAGCAAGACTGCCTGAGCGCCCCCATCAGCGAGACTAACATGCAAGCCATGTCGGGTTCCTTGGCATTGGATGGAATACACGGAACAAATCATTTACGTGAGCCTTGTCCCCAGGTGCCTCATCCTCAAATTTTATACCATCAACATGCTTGCACTGGTCCTGATTGGAGGTTTTTAGTAACCAGAATAGTCCATCACTACGATTGCATATTTTTAAGCCACGAAACCAGCAATCAAGCAGCCATGACGACTAGAGGAACCGCCCTGTTGGGGGAGTTGCTCGCCCGACGAACCTCCCGCCGCTCCGCAGCATCTGCTCCCGACACGCCTCTCACTTTGTGAGTTGTCACACTGGTCGCTTCGAGGACTACTCCTAATGGATCTCTTACATGTTATTCTCATGGTCTCTAGCCCAGTGGCCGAAAGGGTTGACTTCCAAAACAAGGGAACAAGGACACTTATCCCTCGGCCTCGATGCCAAAGTGCTCGATGGCGACCGGGTTTATGATCAGAAGTTCCCACAAGGACAAGAATCCTATGTCAGAGCTAGATGGGTAGTCCGAGGGATCAAGCTGGCAAACGACACGGATATCCTCCTGACTGGGGCTAGCTACTTCCTGAACGGCAATAACTACTATCGAGCTGCCAAGGCTATCAATGTTCGTCTAAGTAGAGCCGTATCAGCCTCGAAAGCTCAGTCTCGCCAGACACATATCTTACTTACCACGCTACAACAAACAACAACTATCTTCACAGGTGTGACCCTTGTTGGATTGGATTGGATCTCTTACGTCGAGCTGTCTATCAAACGTCTCCTCATCCTTTGCTGGCTGCAAATGCCTGCGCAGATGACCATATCGAACGTGGGTATGCCGTACAAGCATGATTGTTCAATCCTGTCACAAACTAAGGACAACAGTCTGCTCTACCAACGGTAGCCGGGAGACTGCTAATACCCGAATTAAAGGAAACATCATCTTGGAAGGCCGCTGCTTGGAGTGCCAAGCCTCCCTGAGAATAAAACTGCTTCTCTCCAGTTTTACTAACTCAAAGTCGGAAGACCTTGAAGATATCGAGGTAGATTCTCTGAGACAGAGGTTCTCAGGCTATATTTGAAATAAGTGGCAGATACCCGCAAAGTATCAGACAGCTATGGAAAGAGAAAGAGAAGCGATCAAGGCTATAAGATCACCCAGGGACCGATTTCATCGTCCTAGACCTCGAATTTTCACCAATATCTGAGCAGGTCTGGGAAATGGCAGTTATCGAATTTGTTTCCGGGGAAGTTATAGTTAACGCGCTGGTCGATCACGGCGCTGATAACAGGACTGTCCAAACAAATCGCCTCGAGAGTCGTGTATAACAGGTTTCCAGCCATGCTTGAACATTGGAGAAAGTCCTATGCAGGCTCTCAGTTGCCGGCTCTGAAGAGTCTGGCCAGTATCAACTGAGGGGGAAACCCTCATGGGATCACTAAGTCCACTACCTTGAGAGACGAATGATAGTTGAGGCAGTAGATAACCAGGCGGAGTTACTACATACAGAGTTTATTTTACTCCAGCCACCTACTGGCTGCAATGGACTTGCCAAAGGTCCGTGCCGCAGCTGCATCGGCAGCGACCCCGACTAAAGTGCGAGTGGGCTTACTTCACACAAGCTCGCAAGCGTCACAAAAGAGAAGGTTCAGACAGTCCCGCTTTTGTCGGCAAGAACTACCTTCTCGAATTTATTGAAGAGCTCATATATTGCTCGTAGGCATTCGTTTAGAACCTCTACAAGGACGTTGATTGCACAAGGCGATGGCCTGGGGGCAATCCTTCTTCACGCTTCGCATGGAACGTGAGGTGAGTTTATTTTCTTAATAGTCGTTTTCGATACTAACTCTACAGTCTATCAAATCCAACCAAGGCCGATAGACAAGAAGATAACCCGAAATCCGACGGTAGGGCACAACACATGCATGGCCATAGTGGTGGGATCGCGGCGGCTATTAGTTACAACTCTCAATGGTCAGCGAAGTGATCGCATGTCCACACTCGACAGCAACACAGTCAGTCACAGCTCCAGCGGATTGCACAAGCGCCCAGAAATATCTATACCTCTGAAATCGGATTGGCATCGTTTTTGCGTTCGTACTTGTGCTCCATCTGATATAGATGTAACTCAGCCAACAAGGGGGCGTACCCCCACTGGTTCCCCACGGGACACAGTCCTGCACAGGAAGTGCATCATCTACTTCTGTATCTCAATCGACAAGAAGGCACACGAATTATGCGGAGTGTCGATTGTCGTCATCCAAACTAGCATTGGCAAGCCGATCCCATTCCTATTGATGACGAAGGAGCATCAGTTCGTGCATCCAAGAACACTTATGAGAAGTATCTCGGGACTAATTCGTTGGGTGGTAGGTTCACCCTCGAAGATCTGAACAGAGCCATTTTGATGGTATTTTCGCTCGTCAATCGACGCAATGGGGAAAAGGACCTTCTGTCCAATACATACTCGAGACCTTCAAATCAAACTCTATCTAAGATGCACTTCCCCTTATAGATCAAGGGTAAAGTCGGCGAAGATTTTACAGCTAAACTGAACACTTACCACCATGCGAAGAAAGACTCTGCTACACCAGATTGTCGTTAGGAATACCTTGGCAATCAGTCATCTTGGTCTCGTCCGATACAGCCTATAAGCATTAGAATTTAGCAACATTTCTTGCGGTTAATTAATCGAAAAGGCGATTTTCGCCTCCTGCCCATCTAAGCTTGTCTGCACACAGAACGTTGTATTCCCGGGAGGGGAGGTCGAGAAGCTAAGTGTGGACAGAATCGTAGAAATACTGCAGCAAGGTGGATGGAAGGCAATGTTTCACTACGCGTTCCTGATATCAGGAGTGTGTGAGAAGATCACAGCGCGAATACTCGAAGCATGCCCAGACTATTTCGATATTCCCGAAAGATGAGGAGGGACAATCACTTATGCTCGAAGCAAAAAACAGCTGGTCTTCTACGAATAATGACTTCTCTATGCCGCAACACAGTTTCCCAGATACCAGAACCGGATCATACGAATGGTACCAATGTCTGAACAAATACAGACTTCTTCGCCATCCTGACGAGGATGGGAGCGATGACTTGGAGCTCAGCCCATCGTTCGCCACACACCTCCGCACACGCTCTTCTTGACCACGCTCGAAGAGCCCAAGCCTTCTGCAACCCCGACCCGGCTCACCACCGAACCGTCCGATGACACAAATGAGTTGCTCGTCTGAGCAGACAATCTCAATCACAAAAACCACCCGAACAGAGTTGACGAGAAAACCAGAAAGGGAAGCGCTTCACCGATACACCCTTACGCCGAGCTCTCTCAAGAGATATTCCTCAATATCCCAGACAATGTTATTGATAGCGGACTTTCCCCGAATTCCAAAGTGCAACTCCTCCGCTCAGGACCAGTTAGGCCACCAGGCTATTGCGGTCAGGCCATGTCAATTGAACCCGACAAACGCAAATGCGTGGGCATAAGACAAAACCCGGAAGAATTGGAAACCTTGGCTAGGCATGCCTCTTGAAGTCAGAATGCTCTTAGTCCTAACGTCGATATCGAAATTGGAACCTTTGTCAGAGCCTACTCTGACTTTCTGAAGAATGGAACCCCTACAAGAGCTTTAAAGAATGCGAAGGCTCCTTGGGAAGCTTTATTTACAAAAGTCTTGTTCGTGCCAATAGACCCTGTGTTCGAGGACGAGGGTATGGCTTCAAATGCCCTGATCCGATTTAATCATGGCCACTCACTTTATCAAGGGTTCCAACCAGCGCCTAGACAAACCTATCTAAAACCTCATCCGACACAGAACCCTCCAGAGGTTGACTAGGCAAACATCAAACAGCAGTCCAGTCGAGATATCCTCTTCCAAGATACCTCACAGCAAATCCCTCAATATGTCCCTGCCTCTAAAGCTAACTTGCCGCTTACTCCCAGGCATGAAGGCTAATTTAAGCTTGCTGCACCATGGAGCACTGCTTCGGAATTTCAAGACAATATCAACTAGTCAAAGTTTAGCGGAAAGTTCGAACACCCTCCTATCTTGACTTTATAGACGGTGCTACTCGAAACTTACGACCTATTAACGAGCGCAACCCCTAACAGGGTGGCGAGTATAACAAACAAACTTGAACCGTCTGGGTCCAAGAGTGCGATGTTCGTTGGAATCTCAGCGAAACTGAAGGTGCCTAAAAGCCAGGCAGCCATCACTGCTCTAACTAAGGTCGTCTCTGAGCATGCCAATGTAGGGGCAGTACGAGCCATTCCAAGTCCACTAACAAAACTACCGAAGCGCTAGGCTCAGACACATTCTATCGCATATTCGTCTTGGTATCCTGCGAAAAGGCATTCGACTCCAATTTCCGCAACCCGCCTACATTGTCAACACCGTGGCATAGGTATATGGGCTTACAGAAGCGTGTATTCAGCCCTCTCTGCCAACGAGACACGGCAATACTTCAGTCGAACCATCAGCTGGAGTATTAAGCAGTTGGTTCAGCCGTCGAACGACCAGTAACGAGGGAGAAAGAGAGAGATGCAGTAGCGATAAAAGGCAATTTATGGCTAGGGGCAAAGAGCGAATGGAAGAGATGGAAGAGAACCAACGTGATTCATGAACGAAGAGATCGAAAGAAAGAAAGAACATCTGGACGACTACAGAAATGGCAACAATGGGCCAAAGTATTGTACATCTGAGAACTATCGGATGCAAGGCTTTTATCAATGTTGGAACAGAAACACGCACCAATATGAAGAAGGCAGCTCAGCGTGGAGCACATATCTTACCACGCTACAAAGAAGCATTATCTTCACAGGTCAACAGAACCGCCTCTCGTCATTCGGCTTCGAGGCCGGAAGCGAAAGCAATGGCATTCACCATTGTCCAGGGTCTTTACCGTCAACGCGACTCAACCGCCCCAACTAGGTGGTGATCATGGTTGGATATCACGGTACTCGCTCATACAGTATTTTTACGACAACAAGTATTCAGCCGGACTGTGTTCGGCTTTGGTACCACCAAGACATGCTTCGTCACATTCGAGTATCAGGGTGTAGTCGGTCCCCCCTCAAGACCACAGTCAAATCATCCAGCTCAAATTTATTTCTCTTGGGAAGCTGCAGCATTAAGTACATTATAAATTTTATGCCATACACTTTAACATTTAAGCACAGCCTTGATTTCAACAATAACCACAAGCTGCTAGCGATTGGCGACAATGGCATCAAAGGCCTTAAACTCTGGATTCTAAGATTATTCGAAGATTATTCCCTTTGCGCTGGCCCATATCCACGGGACTACAATTTCACCAAACTGCATTAAGGTTGGGGCCACACCCAAGAACCCGACTCGGTATGGTTTCACAATTGGATTGACCTTACAGTTGCTAACCATGACAAGGTAGATGCGTATCCAATATGGAACACAATTCTTCTGGACCTTCCCGTGGAAATACATGTTTGCATTAACTATTACGCGTTTCCAACTACGATCATCCCAGACACACCACCATTCGCTCTGCCTGCCGCCAACCACACAGATCGGATTGCGAAGCGATCGTCGAGAATGTCAGGCTGTCATTCGAAATGCTTAACACGATGTTGGCGAATTCGCGTATCCTTTGGAGTGACTAGCCAGAAGAACGCATAGCATACCCGCCAAACTTCTCTCATTTTCTCGAGATGCAAGAAGATGCTGTTGAACAACTGGTTGAGGAGTACAGGGTGTGAAGACGAATGGTAGGACCGTACGCCACACGCAGGGACATTCTGTCGTGATTGACGATAACGACACACCGGACCACATTCACAGGTATTGAGATTCATCGATATTTTCTCAACAATGCCCGCATGCACTAAAATCTCTAAAGAGGCTTCTGCTCAGAGGATGTCAAAATAGGACGTCAGAAACATCATCGAAGCTACCACACAGCAGCTCTATCGGCTCGTTTCGTTGAACGACATGAACGACTTTTTACTTCCAAGTAATACGAAATACCTGTCTCTGTTCAAAAGCGACATCAACTTATCTCTAAGAAGGCCCGGCGTTCTAGATCTGACGATGACGACTTATACGAGACCGATGACAATGAGCCGACCTCACGAGGCAACAAGGTCCATCAATTCTTCAACAGGATACATTCGACACCTTATACCTTACTACGCTCGGTCGTAGATGGCAGCTTGATGGTCATGTTGTGCCCCAAAGGACCCATCAGTCTCGACTTCACATTCAGCACGGAACACCCACCCTCTTAATGGCGCCCAAGTGTTCAGGAGGAACAGCCATGTTGTCGGTGTAAATTGGGTTGGCTTCAGGCTTTGCAAGGCAACAGTTAGCCTTTGGCTTAACCCTAACTCCCCTTGAGACACTGCGTTCTTTCAAATGACATAGGAACCGGTAAAACTCAAGAGTTTCTCAGTCTTATTGAAGATCAATCGGAGACTTTATCGCCATGAGCAAAGTATTCTCTTTCCGGGTGTTGCTGGCCATCAAGATCGGTGTTGAGGAGGGAGAGTCCCTAGGAATTGCGTCTACAAAGATTAAAGAAGCTGAGAACGGAAAGGATATCACTTCAACGTTGAAGTAAGAGTGGGAAAGGCACGCGTGAAAAGACAGCATTCACAACTCAACCATCGCAACATGGTAAAGGCTTCCGATGATGGATTTGTGTTGTGTTGTACGGGATGAGATATGGCGTGGCACGGCGCAGCGATTTTTGGCCATCATTGATCTGCTGTCCCTTCAATACCATGCTGCCAGTATATCACGAAGCGAAGGACCATTTCTCATTCACGACTCCCATCTTCTATAGGTCGCGAGAGAGCTTTACGGATCAGTCGGTGGTCTATAGACTAAAGCTGCAGAGCGAGGGGGAAAGTCAGTATTAGACATTGGGAATTGCAATACAACTGTGTAAATCGTGGCATCATAGGCATCATAGGCATCATATAAACAACGGCTTTCCCAGCAACTTTCTATCATTCTTAAAAACACGAATCAATAAACATTTATACCATACCTTTGGTATTGTAACAAGGAAAAGAATGAGTGATCAGTCTGTAGTCAATTAATTACCCCTTATCTCAAAGTTGTCGAGATCCCTCACGTGATACTGTCCCTGACAGTAGCGCACGTGATTCAAGTGGTCCCTCGGCATCCATGAGGATAGATACCCTGCATTGAGTGACACCTATACATATATACTTACATATCGCCGCACGGCGAAACCGGAGCTATCGAATGAAGCTTTTACCACAAGAACCGATCCCTTTTTACTTGTAACCGTCGCCTACATGATTTTTTAGTAAACCGACCTCCTTCCAAAAAGCAACACCAAATATACAGCTCCGAGGCATCTTAGTGCCCATCATGATACCGGCCCCGCCACCCCGCTCCTTGCGCGACAAGTGTCTCGAGCTTAGAGACAAGGTCGAAGCATTTCTTAAGGAGGAACCCGAGACACAGATACTGCGCGATGTGCAGGACCAAGTCCGCAAGTCGATAGAGGCCGTTGACGAGGCTTTACACAGATATCGGTACGTTCGGGAGATTGGCGGGTATAGGCGGATGCTGACGTGCGCAGACCGGAACAAATATCCCTATCATATAATGGAGGAAAGGACTGTAAGTCGCATGGCACTTGAAGCTTGTCGTTCCGACGAGTTGCTCTACAATTGCGCGACAGTTGATACTGACTCTCCCAGGCCTCGTTCTGCTTATCATAATCCTCGCACGCATGGGTCGCATCTACTACTCGACTCCCGAACTTTCCACCAACGGCGCTTCCGATATTACACCTCCCGAGAAGCTCCAATGCGTATATATCGTCGCCGCGCACCCTTTCCCTGAAGTAGACGAGTTCGTCGAGACGTCCAGCGCCGATTACGGTCTCGAAGTTGCGCGCTATGTACTACCCATGAAGAAGGGTCTCGAGATATACCTAGAGGAACGACCGAGCATCAAGGCTGTCTTTGTCGGTACGAGAAGAACAGATCCTCATGGCGAGAACTTGACTTTCTTTGACCCGACGGACGCTGGTTGGCCGTCGTTTATGAGGATACATCCTGTAATTGATTGGCATTATGGTATGTACCCTGGTTGAAACTGCAAGTTGGACTAAGCTAACACCATTGCGAACAGTACAAATCTGGGCCGTATGTTCCTCTGTTCAATCTCTTGTTCGTCCAATGCTAACATTCCCAGTTTATTCGCCACTTAGGAATCGAGTATTGTCCACTTTACGATCAAGGCTACACAAGTCTAGGCGGAATAAAAGATACCCATCCGAACCCGCATCTAAAGAAGCAAGGACAGAATGGGGAGGGATTCCGACCTGCGTACGAGTTGACGCAAGACGATGAGGAGCGACTGGGTCGCGAATGATGGAGAAGTAAATGGAGCGATTGTATTTGTAAAGGGCCTTTTTGCATAGGGATCGCATTGTATATAGCATTAGACTCTTGGCGTTTGGTTACACATTCTGCTATCTTATGGCATTTATTTGCTGTTATTCATTCGCTTCGTATTCCCCGACGATTGGGCTGTCTCAAATGGTGAGATGCGATCAACAATAGAAAAAGACCCTCACTTATTGACTTAAGCAAGCTAGAATTTCAGAGGGTAGCAAAGACCACTCTTATGCATACTTCATAAACAATAAAAACACGATTGAGAGTCTATGTCTTTGGTGATGTCGTTCTTGCTGGGCCTGTACTTGGTTGATGGTAGATGTGTAGGGTAGACGCAAATGAGATGGTGATATTCTTCACGACCTGAAGAATGATATGACTGTGACAAGCCCGGCCTCTAATTTATATAAAACTCGATACGTAGCTTAGCTTACAAGACGAAATGCTTATGTCACGCTAGATCGGCTCGTTGGGCGATGTGTTTTCCGTATCTGGAGTTTGGTCTTATAGTTTCTCGCCTTGTCCCCTACCTAAAGCTGAACACCCTGCCACCGATGCAAATGCCGAAGTGAACCTAGAATGATCGAGAAGCATTCCTTAGATAAACCCCTGAGAAAATGCCAATTAATGTGGCACACAAAGACAAGTAACGTTCGCCTATTCAATTATCTCCTTGGAAGGAGACAACGGAGTTGGGATGAATTTTCCCCAGATGCCGCCAACGATGTGCTGTCCAGGGCTGTCCATGGTATTAACCGAGATTCGTTAATCAGCATTCCATCAATCTGTAACAAATTAACCGACCCTGATTCCTCGGTCAAGAAATAAGCTATACGAATGTTTATTAGCGCCGGGTATCTGAAACATGAAGAGGTGGGATCGACAGGTACCACATCTCGACAATCGATCAGTGTCTGATGCTGAACATTGTAGTTAATAGAAGCATAAGAGACGGAACTACCTCTTAGCTAATTTATGTCATTTAGATCATGTTCTTAGGTAATTCATTATGTTTTATTCTTGTTGATCTTTCAGCAAGAGTTGGTTGAAACAAGAAGCATGTCCGACGTGAACACCATTTAACCGCCCATCATTTTACCCGTTCCTTGTTCCTATTCCTGTTCCTGAGCATACCACCACCCTAACAAGGGTTTAATTGACATAAACTCCACCACCATTATTGACATTGCCGAACACCCTAGTTTTCATCCGGTTAAACCCAACCTGGATCGATCCCCCTCATGATAAGCTCTTTCGGAACCCAGCCCGAGCCCCTCGCTCATAGACCTGAGACGAAGCGGAGATGCGACAAGGGACTCTGAATGCACGGAAGATATTCTACCGCGGCCAAAAACAAGGATGTTCATATTATCTGCAGGAACTGGGACGATGAAAATCGTTGACGATGCAGGGGCGAACTCCAAGGCCGATAGTGCAGATGCCCAAACATATATATCACTAGGATGGTCTACTACTGAACAACCCAGATACGCCAGTGGCTGATCATTCATTCATTCTTTTCTCCTACCTTTTTACATTCTTTTGAAAAGACTATACACTCTTTTTTGCCCAGTCATTCATTCATACATCAAAATGCACAAATCTGCCCTCATTGGCCTTTTGGCTTCGAGCCCAGTCTCAGCCCAGCTTCACAGCCTAGCGCAGGCCGCTGGTCTCAAGTACTTCGGTAGCGCTGTCGACAACGGCTACCTCAGCGATGCCGCCTACGCTAAAATCGCCGACAATGTTGAAGAGTTTGGTCAACTCGTCCCCGAGAACGGACAAAAGTGGGAGACTGTCGAGCCCAGCCGTGATCAGTTCACCTACGAAACTGCCGATGTTATTCCCGATCTTGCCAAGAAGAACGGCCAGATCCTGCGATGCCACGCCTTGACCTGGCACAGCCAGCTGCCCAACTGGGGTGAGTCCTTTCTTTGAGAGTACTTGTTCAAAATGGTGTTCTAACAGTTGTAGTCTCTGCTGGAAAGTTCTCTGCTTCTGAGCTCACCGAGATCATCGAGGCACACATCGCCAACGTTGTTGAGCACTACAAGGGTGACTGTTACGCCTGGGATGTTGTCAACGAGGCCATCGACGACAGTGGTGAGTGGCGAGACAGTGTCTTTTACCAGACTCTTGGAACCGACTACCTCGCTATTTCCTTCAACGCCGCCAAGAAGGCTGATCCCGAGGCCAAGCTGTGAGTCTCCAGTAATCCTTCTTTTAGCGTGTCTCTAACAGTCCCAGGTACTACAACGACTACAACCTCGAGCAGAACGGCAAGAAGACCGACCGCGCCGTTGAGATTGTCGAGATCCTCCAAAAGGCTGGCGCACCCATTGATGGTGTTGGTTTCCAGGGCCATCTCATTGTCGGCGAGACTCCCTCCCGCTCTGAGCTCGTCACTGTTCTTGAGCGCTTCACTTCTCTTGATGTTGAGGTCGCCTTCACCGAGCTTGACATCCGCCACTCCTCCGTACCAGCTTCTGCCGCTGAGTTGGCTAAGCAGGGAGACGAGTACGTCGACGTCGTCGGCGCCTGTCTCGATGTCAAGGGCTGTGTTGGAGTTACCGTCTGGGGTATCACCGACAAGTACAGCTGGATCCCTGATGTTTTCGAGGGCACTGGTGAGGCTCTTCTCTACACTGACGAGTACGAGAAGAAGCCCGCCTGGACCAGTGTTTCCAGCCTTCTCGCTGCTGCCGCTACCGCTACCGGCGCTCCTGTCACTAGCACTGTCGCTCCCGCTGTAACTACCGCTGCCCCTACTACCATGCTTACCAGGACCAAGCCTGCCTACACCGACGACTGCGATGATTACCCCGAGACTGACGAGCCCGTGTACCCTACCACCTCCCTGACGAACAGCTCTGCTCCTACCACCGCTATGGGTACCCGCACTGCCCTTGGCCCTGTTTACACCAACATTGATGATAATGATGACGACTGCGAGAGCGAAGAGGCTCCTTTCCCTACCTATGTGATCCCCACCAACGGCACATCGACACTCCCCACAAAGGCCCCCGTCTACGATGGCGATGAGGACTGCGACGATGACGCTGCCCCTGCTCCTGCTCCTGCCGATGACGATGACTACGAAGAAGGCGACTTTGAGCCCACAGCTGCCGCCATCTCCTCCGCCGCCGACTCAGCTCCTACCCGTGCTCCCGTCGTGCGAACCACCTCTGCATACACCTACAAGTGGAACACCGAGACACGACCCTCTTACCAAGCCCCCAGCGGTACTGCCCCTGCTGGCCCCGTTGGTACTGGTAACGTTGGTCCTGTCAAGCACTACTACCAGTGCGGCGGCAAGAACTACAACGGTCCCACTGAGTGCGAGAAGCCTTTCAAGTGTGTTGAGCACAACCCTTACTACCACCAGTGCATTTAAAGGGACAACAGGAGAGGTGAATAGGGTGAAGATTTAACTTTTTACATGTATATATTTTTGACTGTATAAATGGGACTTGCTTGATGCAAGCATTTTGGATATTTGTTCAATAGAGATGTTTGAACACTTAAGTTGCTGCACTGACAAACTTTGTATAAACATAAATCCCCAACATATTTTCGATTGCGTCTATCGCTTTGGTACTTGTTAATCGTGCTGAGGTGTTTCTTGTCGACAGATTGTCTGTAGAGCAAGCCTGAGGCACATTCTGGATGCCTGGTTGGGCTATAAAACCCCGAACATCTAACTGTGATGGATTGAGAAGTAAAGTCTGTTTTTCTATACATCATTTCCTTCTATATACTTATGCTGTGCCTTACTATGGACCTAAAAATAGATGTGATCTTAACAGTACATCCTCTATGTACTTGCGATGTTGGCTAGGTCTTGACAGTGCTAGGCACCTGTTTCCCTCACCAGAGACAAGATCCATCGTGATCCAGCCTATTCAAGTACTACCTATATATCACTAAATCAGCCTTCATCCTCAACTCTTCCATCATTATCAAATCCTCTTTTCCTTTTTACCCTATGACAAAGTCAAACTCGACCGAATTGGCTTTCCATGGCGATGATTTGATTGCCTTATAAAGGAGGTCTGTCTACGTCTCCCAGGTGCGTCTTTTGGTCTCGGCTTTGTGAATAAGTACATGGAATGGAACTAATCTTTGTGACAGCCTCTTTTCAAGACGTCAAATCTTTTCTATATCTTATTTTCTTATATATTCTTTCGGTGATTCACTGGCGATCTCAAAAGATATATGAGCTACAGTAATGCCTAAGAATATTTCCTTGTATTAGTCGCGATGTTGGGTATATCTAGGCAGTGCCTCAGGCTCTCCCTCCTTCAGCTTCACTGCCAAAGCAGCTTCCTTCTTTCCCCCTCCCCACCCTCCTTCCTGTTCAAGTATATATAACTGAACGCTCTGCTTCGATCTACCTATTTTTCGCTTCTCCAACAAATTCTTCAGTCCGGATCACACTGATCCGCCCACCTCGTTCAGCGCCCAACATGTCGCCCAACCACTCTATACTCTTCAACCGGCGAGAGATTCAAGCAATAAAAGAAGGCGACATTCAGTGGCTCGTCGCCATCAAGCTAGCGCGACTGTCACCTAAGGCATATAAGTACTTTTCCACGTACTTATGGTTCGAAGATTTCGTGGCAAGCCTCCCTGGGCCGAATACTCGCTCGCCAACAAAGCAGTATGATCGTGTTATGGCCTATGGGAGGCAAAGAATGCATGAGATTCATGTAGAAATGGAGGTGAGTTTATGCATTTGACATTGTTCGTACATGACTGACTGGTATGCTTTGAAGAGGGAGAGAGAGGAGCTCATGCAAAAGTCCAAACCCAAGGCAGTCGTCACGCCGTCTGGACATGTCTTCAACAATGATGATTTGATTGCTTTGTGAAAGAAAATTGTATATGCGTCTTTGGGCTTGGTTTCCGGAGTATATGGGCTGGATCTGGTTGTTGTGGTAGCCCCTGTGTATGGCTTCAGTTGGGTCGGTGACGAAGGCCTCTGCCTGTATAATGCACGGATGAGTAATGGTCAGCAATAACTACATCACAATTGTCTACCCTCTTTACTATTATCGTTACCACTGAACTAGAGAGAATTTACTGAATGCCCGGGTTTAATTGCCGATGGTTCTTTGGTAGCCCAGACGTATGGATACCTGCTTGTTGCTACACTGCCCACCAAATGACAGGTAGCTGTAGCCTGGTCCTTTTGTACTTGACCTCTCCTAAAAGCCCCCAATTTACCCAAAATATCGTCATAAATTACCATAAACATCAACATAAATTCTTCTAGCAGCCTGTTCTTCATCTTGTGTTAAGACCCCTCCATCAACGCCTCTTCCATCCACGCACCTGCTGAAATGTTGGCTCTCACAGCTGGGGAGATGCACAATCTGTCCCATGGCCACACCGACGCTCTCATTATCGCCAATATTGGATCTCTTCTGCTGCCAGTTTGGAAGGTTTCTCAAGAGCGAGAGTTCCAAGTAATGGTTGCAGCACATGGCCGGCGTCAGGACCCGGGGACCGCAAGGGGGATGCGCCTGATTCAGTTTTGGGCCAAAGAAGCCTCGCGACAGCTTCACGAAGGCAAACTCCTGTCCCAAAATCGTATTCTCTCTCTCCACCACGATAGCTGAGTCTGACATCTCGTTTGATCCGCATCGGTCCACGCAAATTGTTTCGTTGTAAGCTTACTTGTCATGCCTGCCGAACGCTCGTTAACACTTTCTTTAGGCTCCTGGGGACGTTCTTAGTTCTATTTAAGTCATATATATCTACGATCACGAGCATACCAATTGTCAAAGAGATCAAACTTACATCCCACTCCATGTTGAGTATCAGGAGAGATTGTCCCTAGGCCTTTGCCTTTTGATAGGCAAGGCCTAGGGACTCTCCCTCCTCAACACCGACCTTGAGGGCCAAAAATACTCGGAAAGAGAATACTTTGCTTATGGCGATAAAATCGCCAATGGGTAGAAAGGCCAACTTGTGGGCTGTTGTGAAGCCTGCTGTTTCTAAGGCCAAATGGCCTACTTCTTGGCCAGTGAAGAAGGCCTGTAAGTCCTTGTTGTTTCTTTGTTTCTTTGCCGACAGCTGTTGCCACAACTATCGTCGAGTGCACTGCAAGATTTCTTCGACGTCTTTCTTCGACGTCGTCTGGAATAAAATGTCTTGTAGCGGTTGGTTAGACATTGTTCTTATTCAAGGTTGGTCGACGAAGTGAATAGTTATAGCGGGGATTTGTTTCTGGTGAAGAAGGGGAAAAAAAGAGAGGACGAGGGGAGGAACCTAGCTTGGTACATAGGTACATGTAATGTGTTTGTGATGAATATTGGTTCGTTACCAGATGTGCACAAGTGACAAAAATGGGTCGCAGATGTAGACGATAACGCCGAACAAGCCATATTGTAAGCAGGACTAAGTTATTCCATGCAGCAAATTAGACTTCTGATTAATTCTAGAAGAAATTTGACTCTGCTATTCACGCTCATGCCTAAAAAGACAATAGGTAGGTTTAGCTATTCTTTGACAAAGTCAACACTCCCCTTCTTAGACTCTGGTTTACTTTGCCTAACGTCTTGTAAGCTATACGGGATGAGAAATTAATGTTAGGATGAATACAATAAGAACATTTCATCATGTTCAAAGTTCAAAACATAGACAAAGCGTCTGTTGAATGCAAAGTACTTAGCTATGAACAAGATTATAGTCTACTTGCAGAGGTCCGGCTGTTCGCCACTGCAAAAGGCTGTGCTACCACTTGCTAGGCAAAGGTCCACCGCGCGTTGTAATTTCCTTCTACACGTAAATCCGAACTTTTTCTTTCTTTCTTTTTGCATCCTTCCTCATCCTTCTCACTTCATCGCTGGACACATCTTCGGAAACAGCTATCTGAGAAAAGACAGAGAGAGAACAAGGCCTTCAAGGTCTTCACCCTCAGGGAGACGGACCATTGAGGCTTAAAAACAGCGGGCTTCACAACAGCCCACAAGTTGGCCTTTCTGCCCATCGGCGATTTTGTCGCCATCTTCTTCAAGGAGGGCCTAATGACCCTGACTTCGTCCAAGAAATTCTTGACCATAAAGGTCGGTATTGAGGAGGGAGATTCCTCGGGCATGGGCACCATGGGCTCCCATTGCGTACCAGTTTTCTGCAGCGGCTGTCTTTGCGGCATCATGTTCTCCGCTATGCCAAACTACCAGTTCTCTGCTGGGCCTACTCACCAGTCTTTCTGTCGCTTGACCCTTGCCCATCAAAATGCAAAGGCCTAGGGCCAGAAAATAAACTGGCTTGGCGGAGAATTGGTAAGTTGGTCTAGCGGAGAACATGATGTCGCAAAGGTAGCCGCTGTAGAGGAATCTTCTGGTCGTGCAGCTTCGCAAAGCGTCCTGAACAGGTTCTGAAAAGGCCGCCTGGGCGTTTCAGAACACTTGACAGATAGGTAAGTGTCTTTCTTTCTATTCGTATATCCAGTCATCTTATAGTATCTAACTCAAACAGGGTCTCGTGATCTTTCTCATCCGACCCGCGGATACTTTCCCGGGCATGAATGGCCTCGCAGTCGATACCAAAGTGTCGGAATACCAGCATGAAGAACTTAAACGCCGCAGCACAGCCTTACTAGCTCTTTGTTTGTCCCTGAGATCTCCAAGAGAAGATGTGCAGCTAGAATATCGACGGAAAACGTGACACCAACAACATGAGTCTACTGGCTCCTCTTGCCCCCAGGGCTTGAGTCCCCTGAGCCTACCGAGCTCTCTGCTGAGGATAGCGTTGCTACCATGATGTCTCAAATGTCCCCCAAGCGTCGCGAGATTGCTGAGCGACTTGTTCAAGAGAATTCTGACATCGACTCCGAGAGCAACCCATAGGCTCCTATTGCGTACCAGTTCTCTGGTGGGCCTACGTACCGGCCCTTCTGCCTCCCAACTCTCGCGCATCAAAAGGCAAAGGCCTGGGGACAATCCTCCTTATACTCCAAATGCATCCATACCGTACTCCTCGGTAGATTTGGTCTGTGTACAGAACATGATGCCGAAAAGGCAGCCGCTGCAGAGGTAAAAAAGTTTCCTTTCTATTCGTATATCCAATTATCTTAGTATCTAACTTAAACAGGGTCCCGTGATCTTCTTCATCCGATCCGCGGATTCCTTCCCGGGAATAGATGATGGATGGCCTTGCAGGCAACATGAATAGCCTCTGTGGTGCCCCGAGAAGACGACGACAAACGAACATGAACTGGTTTGGTAATTTCGACAACCGCACACAGGCATCTTTGGTTGATACCATGAGCTTCACCCAGCATTTGCAGGCAATCACCAGACTGGACCTTTTCAGTAAGGCTTCCAATCGCAGGAAGTCGTGGACCTCGTGCAAGAGCCCGACATCGACACCGACAGTGACCCACAGGGAATTATGATATTTTGCTTGTCAGGCTTGTGGATACTAGACATTGGCTCGCAGTCTCTGGCACTCGTCGCTATCCTATCAACAGTATGAGTCTGCTCGCTCCTCGAGCTCCTTGATTACTTCACTTTAGCATTCAGAGCACTGGGCAGAAATCACATTGCGTCAACACCACTTTCTGGCCGTCGCAATGCTAGGGTAACCAGTACAGCTTTGAGGGGCGACGTGCTCAGGATTACTGGCTGTAGGTCAAGGACTTCTTGATCCGAGATACTTAGCGAGAATGGCATTTGCAAAAATCCTTCTCCATCTCTATTGCTGGAATTGTGGCATCAAACACACGTCCAGATGCTAGCAGATGGAGTACCCTCCGAACTTTTCCTTGTCACGAAGGTTGCTTGGAAGGTCAGGATGAGTCTGGTTGCTCCTCGTGCCCCTGAGGGTAACCCATAGGCACCTGGGACTTGGTAGGGCAAGCCATCCCTGTGGTCTTCTCAGTTGCCCATAGGATTATAATCCTTTTGCGACCAAATTCAGCGAAAACTTCCCCGTCGTGAGGAATATTTCATCGATAAACAAGAGGGAAAGCTGAAAAGGGACAATCCATCCGAGCACAAGAGGTTATCAGTTCTCCGCTGGGCCAACATACCGGCCCTTCTGCCCTCCAACCCCAGCTGCCATGCTCATTCTTCGACAGAGACGATTTGTTCTCATTCGATTGACCTAAGACGTGTCTTTGAAGGTTCTGCTTCTCAGGCCATCAACGTTCTCTACAATTCATCAACATTCTTTACATTGTTCGCATCGTCAACGGAGTTTCGGGGTTTAGTATCTTTGCGTTTCAGGATATTGTTGAGCTACGTGTGTGGAAGACCGACACAAGTCAAGAGTAGGAATATGGATTTTGCTTGTTGGATTTATCATACCCTGGGAGAAGTATGCATTTGTCATTTCTGTACACACAATAAATTGGGACTATTGCTCCCCAAAAAATTAAAACACCAACCTGCTCTATGGTTCAATTATGTGACTGCTTGTGACTTTCCAAAGTACACATATCTACTGAGAAATGACTGAACTCTGAGACGAATACGTAGTAGACTAATATGGCCCACGTCTCAATTCTTGCTTCTTGATTTGGGTGTAGATTGACTGTGTACACTAGGCAGCGAGACATTAGCTTTATCATCATGATATAGAAACTTCCGCAAATTATTTCACATCTCTAACTTGGCCTCAACTAACTTCACATTTCATAATCCCATTATTGAATTTCCAAGCCATGATATATTCAGTATTCTTTATGAAAAAGCTACTGCGAACCAAAAACTTTAACTCACTATCCTAGGTATATAGAACATGCTTGTCCCTTGCTTGTCTCTTCCCTTCTCAACCACTTCTTGTCACAAATTGATCTTGGATACCTCAACACACACACACACATCTAACATTCTTTTTCATCGACCTATCAAGATGTATAACTAGAACAGGGTCCCTCGAGTGCATGGTCTCTGGGAAGTTATGACCGGCAAGTACAACGAGGAAGCCTTGCTCAGGTTGTACCGCTTCAGCAAAATGGATTTATACTACCTCCAGTACCGGCCGTTATTTATACAGTTCCGGAGAGCCCCTTGCTTTATCTTGCATGCATGAATGGGTACATAAAGCCAGGAAGTTCTTCCATGAAGAGGGCTATAAGAATCTGGTATTTATCCCGTCGCTATTACCTAACGCAAAGCAAATGGCTAACTATAAGCACAAGGAGCGAGAGAAGGACGATCCCATCGAGGCTTACCAAAAGCTATTTCTTACTGATCCTGATGCGGTTCTTATAAATGAGGCTTTTGATGTCCCTGTTAACCCCTATGTTGAACGGCCCTGCTTTGAAGGGGACCATTTGATCTCGTTCGATGAGAATTCTGAAAGTGGTCTTGCTCTTTCTCGGTATCCCCAATAGAAACTATGGTCTACGAGAGTCATCGTTCATGGAGTTTCGGGGTCTTGATGTTGGTAACAGATTTTATGGCGATTTCTAGGATTATTTAAAGCTGAGTGTATGGAAGACCGGCACCAACCAAAAAGAGTATCAGTGGTGGGAACAAGGGATCTTACATGTTGTATGTTTCTTCAAATCTTCGTTTTGTTAGACTTGTACTCTAGAAGCACGCATTAGGCAGCACATGCAATGCGTTCGAAACATCTTGTCACCAACATATTACCAATCTCCAACATGTTATCATTCCAGCACTTGGTCGCCTCCCTATTGACGCATGTTCCAGTAAGAAGCGTAACATATTCTTTGTTCGTTACTCGCATCTGGCACGGGGCAGAAACCGGAGACTCGCCCGAGAACAGACAGTTGTTCGACTTGGACTTTCAGTGTTTTAACAAAGAGAACAAGACAACGGCTCTAATTCAAAGGAGCCTAGAACCAGCGCACTTATTTCTCTGTTGTCACCAAGAGTCTCCAAGCCAATGCCTTGGGCCCGTTTAGATCTGTACCCACCGTGAACAGTTGATGTTCTCCCCCATCGTTACTCGGCAGCACTTCTCCCTCCCAACTTTGACCCTACTTTCGATCAAGTGGCTTCGAAGCCATGATCGTAACGGGTTCGCCGACACAGAAGGCGCAAACTCAATCGTTCTTGCAGCTTCCGTAGCCGCTGCAGTAATTCCGTTCGCCGAGCCGGCCGACCTGACCTACGGCATCTCAATAGATACAACCGTGGGGTCTTCGGTAGGACGTCAGCTCTTCTACCACTTTTCTTGCTAAAATCATGGAGACAGTTAGTGGCTATTTCTATCCAGATCTATAAACTGCAAGGCCAACAAAAATATGACGCGCCCTCAGCAACTGGCATCACAAGGCACAGCACGAGCTTAAAAGGGAAATGAACCGCGAAACATCACCCGAAATGACCGAGCCGATGCCAGCAAACCAGAAGAAAGCATGGTAGGGATGTTATTCCAAAATCCCTGCTGCGTCGCCCCCATCGTTCAGCTGGTAGTGGTCAGCCTTAGGCCCGCAAAGACCGAAGGGAGAAACAATTCAGGTAGCTGATTTATCCTATCTCGGATCTACTTCTAGGCTTACCGATTTAGTATTTATTTACAACGTCCCTTAGCTCATGAGCTATTCGCTAGCCCAGGAACGTTTGCCACGCTTATCTCTTCCCCAAAATCGCCATATCCCACGTGCCTCTTGGCTTACAGGAAAAGACGCACCAAAAGATCTACACGTGCATCACCCGCGCATCGCTGTTGGATCTACCACTACTCCGCAGATCTACAGGGTTTATGATCCCGTTTGTCTGGGCGTCGATTTGATCCCCGATTCGTCACCGAGATGAAATGAACCTCACGCAAGTGGCTTACCGTCTTGGCTTGGTTTAAGCTTAAAAGACGACATTGAAGCCAATACAACTTTGAGGTTCTGCAGACGGTTCTGATCTTTGACAATGGTTGCCACATCTTTTCTCGTTCAGCTGGCTTTGTTGCCTTGCCTGGCTATTGGTTCTTCTCTTGCGCCTAGAGCAAAGTCTTTTGACTATGATTCTCTTACACTGAGAGAAGTCGGCGCTCGCAACACCCTTGTAAGTAAATTGTTTATTTCCTAAACAATCGTTGACATTTCTAGGACTGGCGTGTGTGGCTCGAGAAAGACGGCCAGCCTATTTCCTTCTGGCACGGTATTCCTTTGTATCCTGAAAAGGGCAACAACCGCATCGTGAGCTATGTTGTCGAGATTCCTCGATGGACTGATGGCAAGATTGAGACCCGTCGCGATGAGCCTATGAGTATGACTCGCAACCCAATGATCAATACCAGTCTGACCACCTACAGATCCCATCTTCCATGACGACAAGAAGAAGCTACCTCGTTTTGTGGAAAGTGTATGGCCTCACAAGTCGTACCCCTTCCACTACGGATCTATCCCCCAGACATGGGAGAGTCCCAACTTTGACCACGACTTTACCGGATATCCTGGTGACAATGATCCCATTGATCTTTTTGACATTAGCGAGGTGTAGGTGTTTCCATTCAATTGGAGCGACACGGCTGACCTGTAGCATAGTCCTGCCCACGTTGGCCAAGTCAAGTCTGTCAAGGTTCTAGGTGGACTTGCTCTCAACGATGTGAGTAGACGTCATACGATGTATTGCGTACTTACTGATCTTTTTAGGGTGGTGAGACTGACTGGAAAGTCATCGCCATTGATACCAAGGACCCCCTCGCTAAGCTTGTCGAGTGTAAGTTACTCACCCCGATGCAATCTTAAACTAACATTCCCAGCCGTCGAGGATCTCGAAAAGTACCGCCCCGGTCTCGCAAAGACCTTCTACAACTGGTTCACCGTACGTCTCCCGCCGCATTTTCTTCACGTCCACTAACACTCTTAGTACTACAAAGTCCCTCGCGGCGACGACGTCCTCGAGATCGTCGGAGGAGACTACCAGAATGCTAAGTTCATGGTAAAGACCATCAAGAGCAGCCACGGCGATTGGCAAGATCTTGTACGCGGCAAGGTTGACTCCAACGAGATCAACTACAACCAGACCAGCTCCAAGAATTACAAGAAGAGCTACATCAAGAGCAAGGATGCCACCAAAAAGTTCAGTCTTCCTGCCGAATCCAAGATTCTACCCGCTGCGGAGAGGCCGGCCAAGTATGATCTGTGGTATTACTTGGATAAGGACTACAAGTTGATTGAGCTTGGCAACAAATGAACGCTCGTGGATTGAGCGACATATCTCAAGGCTGTCTCTCTGGGTCAAGATCTGTTAGCCCATAATAAACCACACAATAAATAACTAGCCGTCTGACCTTGAATACTAGGTGTCGGTTTGCTACTTGAACTGTTAAGATGTAGTCAGATCCTACCATCCATGTCCATATTGGCTTCCTGCCCGCTCAGCATGTTCATATTGATCTCTGCAGAGGACAAAACATAGGTACTAGACGTTGCCAAGCAGCTTGACATCTTACTCCTCCAAAATCATGATAGCATACACATGATCTCAGTTGCTCAGCAGCCTTCACTCAGGCCGCGGACGCGGCGGCTCCTCTAGATCAACCACTGTTTCCGGGGGTAACTCCGAGGTAATTGGTCAGGCAAACCTGCCTTTTTTATACCGTCTTTAGTGTTGATGGATGGAAGTTCTTCGGCCTTGTCATTGATAGACTACTTGGTATAAACGGCCTGCGAAGGTTAGCGATTGCAAAGGAAGGATGAGGTATACAAACGTGATTATCTTCGCTATAGGTCGAATCGGACATCGTACTTTTAGATCTCAGTGCGTTAGCCGCGGTCAAGATTCTGCGCGTGCTCGCTCACAGTGATGTTGTTAAAGGAGTAATCGGTGTGCTTCCTTATCAGCGTCTGTTTCCCCAGTAGTCAGCCATCTGTGAATTGTTCGGAGGACGGGGAGGGTCGTCCTCCTCCTCCGGGAAAATTGTCGATGTGTTTGTATGCGGAGGACAGTTTGTAGTTAATTCCACCGCATAGAACGTCACAGAAAGGCGGGAAGGAAGTTGAATGAGCTCAGTGGGCATACCTAAGGCTATGCGGGGACCAGATTTCGTTTACTCTTGCCAGAGCCCGATTTCGACCCTCATCCTCTTCATCAAACTAGCGCCGTTGGATTAAAAAGTGTGCTTTTTAACCCATTCCTGCAACATAATGGCGATGTTACAGAGTCTTGGTGAGGGTATACTATTGCACTTACACATATCAGCGTGTCACGCCTGTCACTTCAGATGAGTTGAGAATGGATGCCCAAACGCGCGTGGCAGTAGCTAGGTACCTACGCACGTCAGTACCTGGGTCGGTAGGCTGTGGTCCATCTTCAGCCACTTTGATGAAAGTCGCTTCATCTCTCCATCATTTTGATGTTGGGATACCCAAGGTTGACTCCCCCCACAACTGCAACATCACATTCATTTTCATTGAAGCTGTCCTCCGAAAAAGCCTTACAATAGTACAGCTACAAACCGGTTTCTAATAACAAGAAAAAGAGTGGTTCTAGTTCTCTGGCAGGTTATGCTCCCCCAGGGGAGATTATGCTGTGATCCCGCAGCGCGTCACGACGCCTACTACAACCAGCTCTACCAGCCTCGCCCTGAATACCAACCATACAACCAAGCTCACCAACAGTACGTACGGCATGTTCACTCATCCAGGCGACAGGGGGTCCCGAAATTGAACCTGGGCTTTCGTCTACGAGGCCTAATACAGAGTTGGAAACTTGTTGAGGTGCATCAGAGGTTGCTCCGATACGTCCGCTATTTGTCGTGTTCTGCTCCTGTTAGTTTGCGTCTGTAACTGGGTCGAAGCCGACGAACATTCGCAAAAGATCGTCGCTCCAGTTGTAGAGCTCAAAAGTGTAAACAACGATGCCCCCTTCGCCTGTCACCTTTGTCTGTGATCGACTTACCGTTCAGTAGATTCTTCGCCGTGGATGCAAACTCGGTCGCACCTCCGTTACCAGGCCTCACCCACCGCGGTATAGAAGCAATCACGCTAGCCCTTCACAACGTCTTGCTATGTCAGGTCCCAGTCTGTCCCCATGGACGTTCTATCACTCCCAGCGATCACTTAAGTCTCAACACAGCAGCAAGTTTCAACCATTGCACGTTGCTTAAGCATAATGCTGACTGTATTCCACCATTCACTGGACAATCCGGCTGACCATGGCCATTCTTGACACAAACTATCCGGTTACACTTCGTGGACCTAATGGCAAGCCCAGAATGGACAGGGGACACATGGAAGCTCCTGAATTTCTTAGTGGCTCTACCCGTTCTCATCCTGTCATCGTTAGGATCATCTACTGCAGTACCTACTTCTCGTTTCAACAACCACAACCTATCGGGCCCAGTCATCGCCATCACAGACGCTAACTAGCCAAGTCAATATCTTGGTATGCAGCATATCAACATTGTGGATGAATGGAACAGCACGTCCCCCTCCCGCAGTGGCGATTACACTATAAGTCCAGAAGCGCATGGCGACGCAATCATATAGTCAAGGCTACAGGCAGTACGGTCCCCCTTCACAGCATCTTAGTATGCTGGGTTCTGATCCTCATGGAGGTTCACCCACCCCTGGCGACCACTCAAGCCTCGACGCAGCAGTAAGTTTTTAAACGTTGGAAATAAGCATCATACTAACTTTATATCCAGCAATCGGTGGATAATTTGGCTGGCCATAGCCCCAGAAATGACTACGCTGTAAATCTAGAAGCGCATCATTACAACCAGCTTACGAGCCTCACCCTCAACACCAATCCTACTACCAAACGAGCATAACTACGATGTACAGTCTAATGCGGAGCAGGTCACTCTGTGCATGTCATCATGCTTTTAGGGATATTTCGTGACCCGAAGACACTTATGAGGACGTTGCCCGCCACTGTTGGTGCAAGACTGCTCAACGAGAACTTCCAAGATGATTGCGACGGCGTTGAGCCGGAGTCTCATGGCCCGTGGAACACTGCGACCGGATCGCAGAGCGGAGGAAGACTCCAGGATGCTTGGCAAGGTCCAGGAGGTCTTGTCCTCCGCAGAGACCAAGATGAACATGCTGAGTGGATAGGAAGCCAATATGGACATGGATGGTTACAGTGGCTAGGTTTGGTTTGATGTTAAGCCCTGACGTCTTATTGACTTTGACTACTGTTCTTCACCTTCTGTTGCACTAGTGGGATTACTGTTAAGCTTGCATCTCTTTTTAGATGGTCAGCGAGCCGCCACGAATGCTGCGAAGCTACTTCTTCTATTAGTAATCAGATCAGACACCAAGTCACAATATAATACTTACTTATCACAAAGATTCAAAATTACCGCCCTATCAAGTTGTCCGCATTGTGCTAGTTCCTCGTCAGCGTCTGTATCCGTCTTCCTAACAGTCCCTTAGAGAGCATACCACAGCCAGGATCAATTGAGATTGTGCAGTTCTCCCTAATCGCCGCCTTCCCGGGAGTCAAATCACATCTTTATCGACATTAATCAGAGGTGCAATTAGCTTTGAGGCAGGTGTGATAGAATGGGTGGAATATGTTGCTACGTTGAGAATGTGGTTGCGACCTCAAGATGTCAGAACAATTACATGGAAGTACAACGGACGAAATGAAGGGCAGTTTATGTTATTTATTAGACCATCTTCTTGGGTAACTTGTCCTCATATCCTAAGTCTTATGGACAAGAAAATGTTGCCCGCCGCGAGTGTGATTTGAGATGCTCCCCATAATCCGCAGCGGATGTTCGCCTGGGCAGCAACGACAACATTAGTTCCACACTTCTGACAACTAATCAAACGGCAATTTTGTTAAATTACAAGTCCAAAACAATAATGTTGGTGTGTGGAAATATGCCAATGCTGCAGAAACCCAGCCGAAAAGTGATCTGGTCGAAAAATGAGGGTATCACCACAACGGCGTAACTGACTCCAATAAGCGCCTCTGGGCAAACTTGGCTAGTTCCACGGGTGTGTGGTCCCTCTAAAGCAAGTGCTGAAAGCCCCTCAGTTCAAAAAAGTACGTCCTCAGCCCAAAACACCGAGGTTTCTCATGGCGATACCCATCAAAAAGATTGAATCGACAACGGCAGGATTCGAACCTGCGCTCCCGAAGGAAATCGCTTACGGCTTGTTGCTTCGAGGCGATCACGTTAACCACTCCGTCACGTTGCCTAGATGATTCGTTATGACTCTAGCTTCCAAAAGATGTATATATTGTGTGGGTGGGTTGGTTGTGCAAGGTTTTGCAAGTTTCCCCACCATCAAGGCCCACACACACGTCTCGATATGCCCCACTTACAACTACGCCTCTTATTTATCAGCTGTGTGTCCAGAGTCTCTTGTGTGAAAGAATTGGACTCATTGCCTTTGTTCCCTTGTGTTCCTCACTCTGTTGTTTTGATACTGCCAAGGAATATGGGAATCACGTGTATCGAGGATAAGGTTTGTGGGTCCCGCTCAACGGTCCGCCTCCACATTTCCAGAAGGTACGTACCCACAGTTCATTCTATGCATTTAATGGGGTATTGCACGAACCGGGGCCTCATACCTGCTCCGTTCCAGTCGCGAGGAATCAAACGGCTGTGTTTCTATATTTTGCCAGCACGCTCAAAACGAGAATTTGGACAAACTGCGAAATGAATGACAGCACACCCAATACTTGATTGGCATTTTCATCCCACTCGACTTCTATAGTCCCAATCTATCATTTCTTGAATGTCTGTTTGTAATTATATGCCCCCGCATAACGTTTCCATGTCCTCTTTGGTGATACGCCTCAATATTGAAGTAGTTGAATACGAATAGATATGTCATTTTTTATTTATTCCCAATATTCCTTTTACATCATAGAATCTTAGGGGCTAGTTCAAATAATACTGAAACCTCAACTAAATTGTACCGTTTCGTAAGAACTCTTCACCCTAATCTTGGGACCATACTTGAACAACACCCAAGGAACCGGCAACAGAGCCAACGCAACAAATCCAAGAAGACTACTTGCCCAATCAATACCCAGTTTCTCATACACTACAACCTGTTAGCTTTTTTTTAACCAAGCCGTGAACAAACTTACTCTGAATGGTAAACAGCGGAAACACGCCCGCAAAGCCATACCGTGCAAGACTATTAGCACTCGCAGCACTCGCGACGACGTTTCCATGATATGTATCCGTGATATACTGCATCGTACTAACAAACACGCACATATTTCCCCATGCAAAGATGATCATCGCTGCCGCGGGGCTCGCCCACGATACTCCCGGTCTCGCTGTCCAGCCAAACCAGAAGAGTCCAATCGGTAATCCGATACTCCCAATCAAGGATGGGTAAAGACGATGCTCTGGTGGGATCTGGTGGGGAGGATACTTGCTCGCTTGTTTGCGATACAAAAGTACATCACAGAGAATAACAGTGACGAGGCCGAGAAGACAGCCGATGACGATGGAAAGAAACACCAACCCCGACTCCTCGATGGAGAACTGGTACACCCTCCCAAACGTATACGGTACAGCGGCAAAGAAACTAAACAGTGTCCCAAACTCAGCTGCGACGTACAGACAGATGAAGCCAGTAATGGGTTCGAAAAGCAGCATTCGGATAGGTCGCACCACAGCCACAAGGGCAAACACCTTGAGTCGAGCAGCCAAAGGCGGCGGCGGGTCAACCTTCAATCCCTTCTTCTTTGCAAGTCTACGCTTGATGACTGGATGGAATGTCTCATGGGCGAACGCCGTAACGATCATGGCGAGGATAGAGAAAAAGACTAGCGTCCACTGTGTCCAACGCCATCCTTTTCGATTCACCACGAAAGATCCTATGACAGGTCTATATCGTCAGCTTTGATTCCCACTTACTTCAGCAAAGACTCACCCTAGTCCAGGTCCCAAGAAAGGCATGAGTATAAACACCGCCGAAACAGGCCCTCTATTCTTAGGCGTAAACGTCTCAGACAAAGTCCCGGGCGCAACAGCAAGAACAGGCGCCCAGCACAAACCCGCCATGAAGCGCAAGAAACACAACGCGCCTATATTATGCACGAAACCAGCCCCTATGGTGAAAAGAGTACCTAGGGGAACACTCGCGGCGTAAATGGCGTAGCGACCGATGGTTTCTGACAATGGACCGCCGATGATGGGTCCAAAGCCCAAAGCGAGGACGTACATCGTCAAGGGGAGAAGAGCGACCGTTGAACTGACGTTGAATTCGGACATGAGGTCGTTGCGGGCTGGACTCATGATTGATGTACCGATTGATCTATCTTGTTAGAAGGGTAAGTCATGGGAGAGTGTGTACGTACGCGAGTATTGCTGATGATGAGAGCATCACCACCTGCAATGCTTTCTTCCACGCGGGCCAATTGTATGGATTCTCAGGGCTAGTATCCCAATTATCTGTATCTTGTTCTTCTTTCGGTCTTGCAACTTCGACATCATGCTCTGTCGTTGATTCATTCCCCAGCGACATCTCGCCTTCGTCTTGTTTCGTGATAATATCCATGATGTGGTATGCTCTACTATCGCTATTCCTCAATCATGAGGCGCAAGATGCATTTTATCTACGTTTCAACACATCAATTGCTTATCAACAATGCCTCAAAAGTCCGACGGTGTAGTTTAAGGTGCGCGGAAGTGTCCCGCAGGAGTATTTATGCGATTTCCCCGTCTGGTTATGTGATTAGTGATCGACTTTAGACGAGCTGCACTGCAACAAACACAGACGGTTCGGGTTTGGGATTAATGATCATAAGCGCGATAGGTAAGAATTATTTATTTACCTTGTCCAATTCGCATGATTATAAACACTGGGTTACATTTCGTCTTGTTATGTTGGTTCAAAGTACCTCGGCTGTGGGATCATCATCAACAATTGACTCTACAGGGTGCAGATGACCTGATCCCCTCATTATGATGAATTATAGCGCAAATCATTGGGTTTCGCATCATTCTCCTCTAACGCGACTTAGAAATCGAGTTGGCACGGTTTGTCTTCCAGGTTTCTGGTTCTCTGTTGGTCACCGGAAAAGGGTTTCCTGTATTGCCGTTGATGGTAAATAGAAAACATGGAAAGGCAATGAATCTAGCATGCGACTCCTAGAAACCGATAGAGCCTCCTCAATTAATCACCTAGACAGATGAACATTGCGCGTATCTATAAGATAATAGGAATATATTATATCCAATAAAAGTACGTCCAGGTCTTGACCAGCCCGACGTTTATCATCTCAAAATACAAATGTTGAGAATCATAAGGTAGACGTAGGGTAGGTCATTTAGTAAAGGTATGGCATTCCAAGCAGGAAGACATAAATACTTCCAAGATATGGTAGACTATGGAAAAAAATGATAATAATTATTCTAATCCTTAGAATAAAAGCCCACTATGAATCTGAATCTCATGTGTTTGCCTATCCGTGCGTAAATGCACCGACGGCATCCCATGGCATAGATCGTATACTCCCGCATATTACATCAATAAATCCTCAACAATCCACAATCACAAGTCATCACAAGAAACCAACACACTTATTGTTAAAACTCATTTTCTTATTACTCATAAACCGAGTCATGCTGAAACTCGAATGCATTACATTGCGTCGCATACATGGTGTGAAAAATGATCCAAATGTCTCGATCTCAATATCAACAGTTCAAGTCGGCCCTTTGTAAACCATAAAACACTCCCAAAAACACCATAATGAAGCCCAATTTGGGTTGGGTAGAAGGTATACCACTCTCCTGGATGGTATAGTTAAAGTACAGTTATTAAAAAAAAGATTCGAAAGCCGTCATGTCCGTCTTTTCTAGTACTCTCGTCTCATTAAAGCATGTTCATTATTTAATCCTTCCAGGCCATGACATCTCGCTCAGAGATGAAGAACTGGGGCTTCTCGTCGAGGAATTGCTTGTGGAACATCTCAAGCAAATCACCGGGGACCTGCTGGCCGATGACGACCTTGATGTGGTCCTTCTTTCCGGTCCAGAGATGCTTGATGAACTTTCCTTCACATCCAGACTTGCTCTCGGGGAAACCGTTGGCCTCAGTGCAAGGAAGATCCTTGATGTCCTTGGGGTAATCGTAACGGATGTAGGTACCGAAACCACCCTGGTCGGTAGGCTTTCCGGGGCGGTTCTTTCGGAAGTCGACACAGTCGGGGTGCTTGCCACCCTCGTTAGGGCAGTCCTCCCACTCCTTGAGGATCTCAAAGGTCTTCTCGTTGTTCTGGAGAACGATGAAACCAGTGTTGAGGTAGACCTTGTCAAACTT